GTGATAAGAGCAGCTGCAGGCTGTTCCTGACCAGGTCCCTGAGCATCCTCCGGCCCCGCGGCACCTCCCGAGCACCGCTCCCTGCCTGAGGAGCCTCTCCTCTCCCTCCCCTTCTCCGCGCTGTGCCGAATCCCTCGGGAGCAGCTCGGCTGTCCCGTCACCGTCCCTTTGCCCCTGACGAGAGGGGAGTGGGGGCGAGGGCCAGCAAAGGGCGAGGGGGTCTCGCAGCGGGAGTTATCCTTATCCTCATCTCCTGCTCCGGATCCGCCCCGGAGCCTGTCCGGGCCTGACGGGCGGCTCTTCTCCACAGGCTGCTCCCACAGGGGCAGTGCCAGCCCCAGCCCCGCTCCTGGGCCCGGGGGTCCCCTCAGAGCACCCCGCGCTGCTCCCCGGTGCCAAGGGGCCGCTCGTTCCCTCTGCAGCCCCGGCCCTGCCCAGCTCCGGCTCCCGCAGCAGAGCGGGATCAGGACCGTGCTGAGGAGATGCGCTCTTTCGTTATCAACATCGTGATCAGCATTGTTGTCATTCTGCCCCGGGCACGGAGGGGGTTCAGCGGGATTTGGGGATGGGGTTTTGGATGGGGGGGGATCTCAGGAACCCCAAATGAGTGGGATTTGAGCAGTATTTCTCTGGCTTTGGAGCGTTTGGAGGTGCAGATTCAATTCCTGCTTTCAGGATGGTGAAGTATCAGAATTGCACAGATACACCTCAAATAAAAAGACCAATAAAAAGATTGCTGCTCAATCTGTCTGTGTTTATAGGGGGCAAAGTTCTCTACTGCCAGCAGTGCCAGCTCTGAGGAGCCCAGGCCCCAGGGAGACGTGGGGCTGGTGCTGTTTGGAGCCTTTCTGGGGCTTGTGTTTTATGGAAACATTGCACGGGTGGCTGACTGCTCCATAAAATCATTTGTTCCATGCCCTGTGTTTTCCAGCTTGCTTTAATCCATTATCAGGTAGAGGGGAATATTTGGCAGTGTTTGATTCTACTCTAAACAAGGTTCCAGCAAGGAGAGAGGTGTTTCCATAACAGAAATGCCTGTTGAGACACCCACGGCTGAGCAGTCGCGTGTCCTGTGCCTGCTGAGTGCTGTAATGCAGGGAAATGTCTTTGTGCAGTGCTGGCCTTTGAGGGAGAATGTAAACAGGGTTTCATTTCTGTAGTATTTTGCAATTAGCACGGCTGACAAACTTCTTGCTTGTTGCTGAGCCAAAAATAGAGCACAAAGTCTAAAACAGAACACAAAAACCTGTAGGGTAAGATTAGAATCTGGCACTGTGAACTCTGCCCCGTTGAGCTGATCTTAAAGCTTCCACTGGATTCTTTTTTTTTGTCTGGAATGGAAATGAACTCTTTTGTTCTCACCCCGCAGTGGGAGCCAGCAGTGCTCAGTGACTTTCTTGGCTGTGTCCCCTTTGTGCTGTTCTGGGTCAGTTCAATGCAGAGTTCTCCACGTTTTTGGGATTGGTGGGCGTCCCACAGGTGCTGTGTCCATAACACACAAACCACGCTCGGCACAGACTTGGACTAATTCTCTTTTTCCTTCCATGTGTTTAAAGCACACAATGAGCTCATTCCAGGAGAAGAGAGAGGATGAAAGGGGTAAGAACAGCCCAGCCTTGCTCCTAGCTGGTGGCAGCTATGGACAGCAAAGTGACTCTGCCATTTCCTCCTGGGGGTGAATCAGGGAAAGCAGCCAGCAGTGGTGACTTGCTGGGTGCCCCTCACATTTATAGGGAATCTTACAGAGAAACAAGGAGAGGTGTGGAAAGAAGACCCTGGTGTCTGACAGAAGGATTGATCAGCTGGAAATGCAGGCTGTGGTGTGTGTTTTGAGGGGGTGAAGAGGAAAGTAATTTTATTTCACATTTTATTGTGCAATTAAATGTGTCCAGGAGCAGCAGGCAGGCTCTACTTTGCTGTTCGGGGTGGTTAAGGGAGATGTGATCCAAAACAAGTGCGGTTTAGTCACTTTTAGCCAAAGAAAGGTGGTTTTTTTTTTCCTGTTTTTCTTTCAGAGAAGTTGCCCGGAGCCGGCGCGCCGTGCCCGCGCTGCCGCCCCGGGCAGAGGAGCTGCAGCTCTGCAGCAGCGCTGCTCCAGCCGCCGCCAGGAGATGTCCCCAGCTGCCCGGGGTTCGGCAGCAGCCCTGCCCCTGTGCCCGGCGAGCTCCTGCACACAGGGACGGGGCACAGCTGGGCTCAGCCCTCCCTGGGGCTCCAGCTGGGCTTTGGGAAGGGGCCTGGGGCTCGGGACAGGGGCACGGGGCTGCCAGGGACCCTGCCAGACCCCCAGGGCAGCGCAGGGCACGGGGCCAAATCCGGGCACAGCAAGAGGCAGAGAGGATGAATGAAGAACAGAAGGGAATGAAAAAATTCCAGGTCCTGGATGCAGTGGTCAGTCCCCCCGATGCCAGGGGGCTCACAGGGGCTGTCACAGTGCTGGGAGGAGCCCCGGAGCTGTCACAGTGCTGGGAGGAGCCCCCGGGGCTGTCACAGTGCTGGGAGGAGCCCCTGGAGCTGTGACAATGGGTGCAGGAGCCCCCGGAGCTGTCACAGTGCTGGGAGGAGTCCCTGGAGCTGTAACAATGGGTGCAGGAGCCCCCGGAGCTGTCACAGTGCCCGAGCAGCCCCGGAGCTCTCAGGATGCTTGGAGGAGCCTCGGTGCCTCTCTCCGGGACTGAGTAGCCGCAGGGCTTGTCCCGGTGCTCTGGGGTGGCCCCGGGGCTGGGCAGGGCACAGCAGCCCCGGGCCAGCAGCAGGACGCGCGGTGGCCGCAGCGATGGCCCACGAGGACGTGAGATATTACCGGGGGCAGTACAAGGACAGGCTGCTGCTCCTGCTCAGGTCAGGGCTCCTCCAGCCTCCCCCCGTGTGCCCTTTGTCCTTCCCTGCCGTGGCAAGCTCCATCCCCGTCCCTCCCCTGTCCCTCCCCGTCACCCCGGGGCCGTGCTGGGGTCCCTGCAGGGGAGGGCCGGGGGTCGCGCTGCCGGGGCTCCGAGGTGGGGCTGGGGGCTGCCCACCGGCTGCCAGGGTGCCGTGTGAGCGGGGAAACGCGTGCAGGGAGCTGCGGGCGGCAGAGGAGGACTCCACGCACTCGTTCATCTGCGTGCTGAAGAAGATGAAGGAAGTGCGGCTGATGGAGAAGGTCGTGGAGGACACAGAGGAGGTGAGGGGCTGGCACGGGGCTGGGGGGCTCTGGGGGGTGGCAGCAGCAGGCAGGGGGGCTCTGGCTGTGGCAGCCGTGTCACCCTCGCTCTGGGGCTGCCAGGCCTTCACGGAGAGGATGGAGAGCCTTGCTGAGCAGTGGAGGGAGCTGCACGCCAGGAGGGCCCAGCTGAAAGCCCACGTGGTGACATCTGGGGCCACCGTGAAGGTACTCCTGGCACTCCTGGCACTCCTGGAACACCTGGAACACCCCTGGCACCCCTGGCACACCTGAAACACCTGAACGCCTCATACACCTGGCACACCTGAACACCCGATACCCCAGGAACACATGAAACACTTCATACACCTGGAACATATCTGGCACACCTGGAACACCTCATACACGTGGCACACCTCATACCCCTGACACGCCTGGCACTCCTGGCACTCCTGATACACCTGATACCCCTGGTACCCCTGGCACACCTGATACTCTTGGCACAGAGGTGAGGGGCTGGCATGGGGCTGGGGGGCTCTGGGGGGTGGCAGCAGCAGGCAGGGGAGCTCTGGCTGTGGCAGCCGTGTCACCCTCGCTCTGGGGCTGCCAGGCCTTCACGGAGAGGATGGAGAGCCTTGCTGAGCAGTGGAGGGAGCTGCACGCCAGGAGGGCCCAGCTGAAAGCCCACGTGGTGACATCTGGGGCCACCGTGAAGGTACTCCTGGCACTCCTGTCAGTCCTGGCACACCTGGAACACCTGAACACCTGGAACACCTGAACACCTGGCACACCTGATACACCTGGAACACTTCATACACGTGGCACACCTCATATCCCTGGCACGCCTGGTACTCCTGGCACACCTGATACCCCTGGCACACCTGGCACACTGCCCCTGCTCACCAGCTCCCCTCCCCTGGCACCAGCCCTGGCTCAGCCCTCCTGGGGCCGGAGTGTGAGCAGCAGGGGTTTGTGCCCTGGCTGGGACAGGGCACAGCCCCAGGGCAAAGGGACAGGGCAGGGGGTGGCCCCGGGACAGGGAGGGCTGAGCTGTGCCGTGCTGGGCCCTCCTGGCAGTGCCCCGAGTGACCCAGCTCTGCCCTCCCTGCCTCCCTCCCCCTCTGGCTGCGGGTGGTGCTGAAAACCTCCCCAGGAGAATGAAAGGCTGCGAAGCCAAGCTCTGAAGAAAGCCAAAGAAGAGAAAGAGGAGAATTCGAAAAAGGAGACTGAGCTCGTGAGGGCTAGGAGGGAGCTGGAAGCCCTGAGGAAGCAGCACCAGAAACTCTCCAAAAAACTGCTGCAGTACTCCCGGTTCAGGAGGTACCTGGAGGAGGTGGTGGAGCATTCCCAGGTGAGCTGGGGCGTGCCTCAGGGAGGGCCTGCCCTGGTTAGAACCAGAGGAGAGAGGCAAGGCCAGGGAATCAGCACTGCAGCAAACCCAGAGACTGCGGGTGGGCTGGGAAGGGCTCCCCGGCAGCCAAGGGGGGCCACAGGGAGCAGGGCCAGGAGAGGAGAGCCAGAGCAGAGAAGGACTGAGAAAAATGAGCAAAAACCATGAGAACGGGGAAAGCTCAGCGCTGAGGGGAGCAGGGCCCCCTTGGTGTCACCACTCCAGGCCATACCGATGGTTGGGGCAGCTGAAGAGTGCCCAGGAGTGAGCCAGGGGGGACAGGGCAGGGCAGGGCAGGGCAGGGTGTCACTGACCCCAGGCAGGGTGTCATTGACCCCGGGGGGGCAGGGAGGACAGGACAGGGTGTCACTGACCCCAGGACAGGACAGGACAGGACAGGGTGTCACTGACCCCAGAGGGAGCAGGGCAGGGTGTCCCTGACCCCAGGACCTGTGCTGCAGTTCCATGACATCGATGACATCATCACCTACTACAAGGCCCTGCTGAGGACACGCAAGGACCTGCTGCAGTCCCAGTGGTGGCACCGGCAGCTGCTGGAGCAGGGCAAGGGCCTGCAGCAGCAGATCAGGGCGGAGAGGGAGGCTGAGATGCTGCAGTGCAGGAACGAGCTCGTGCAGCTCAAAGAGTCGCTCGAGCAGGCTCAAAGTGACATCCGGCACTGGGTAAGGGGCTGGGGGTGGCCAGGGGGGCTCTGCGAGGCCTGGGGGGCCAGGACTTGCTCCTCCTGCAGCCAGGGGTGGGTGGCAGGGCCCAGCAGCAGTTTGTGGTGGGAGGAGGTGCCCCATCCCATCCCATCCCATCCCATCCCATCCCATCCCATCCCATCCCATCCCATCCCATTATCCCATTATCCCATTATCCCCTCCCATCCCGAGCTGGTTCCCCAGCGGCCCCGGGGCTGAGGCTGCTGTGCTGCTGTGCCCCGTGTGCCAGGAGCAGCGCTGTGCCCAGGTGCAGGACGGGGCGGCCAGGCGGGCGGTGGAGCTGAGGTCCCTCACCATGGCCATCCACAGCCTGTTCCACGCCGCCAGCGCGCGGCTGCAGCCGCAGGGCAGGGTGGCAGCCGGGGACAGCCACAGGCAGCTGGACATGGTAACGCGGGCACTGCCCCTGCCAGGGAGAGGAGGGACCCCCAAGGCGAGGGGGAGCCCCCAGACCCGACACCCCCTGGGGTCCCTGGGGGGGCAATGGGGGGACAGGGGCGAGCAGGGTGGGGCCAGGCACGGGCAGGGGGCAGGGAGATGGGGGTGCAGGGGTGCAGGGTTTTGGGGTGCCAGGATGCAGGGATATGGGGTGCAGGGTTTTGGGGTGCAGGGTTTCGGGCTGCAGGGATGCAGATCCAGCCCTGGCCGGGGTTTGGTTCTGTTCCCCCACAAAGGCTCCATCCCCCCCCCCCCCCCCCCCCAAAGGGCCCCCCCCCCCCCCCCCCGGTGCTGCACGTGCTTTCCTGTCCTGTCACTTAGCCTGGGGACATGTGGCCTGCAGGAGGGACAGGCTCCCTCTGCCTCCTGCTCCATTCCCGCCTGACCCCCTCTCCCGGCGCCACCCCAGATCCGGCAGTTTATCCACGACCTCCAGGACTTCACGGAGGACATGAAGGAGCGTGGCCGGGCTCTGTGAGAGCCTGCCCTGCCTGCGAGCAGCAGCAGGGACAGGAGAGGCCAGAGAACCCTGCAGATACTGCAGACTAAAAAAAATAGCAAATATTTTAAGGCATCTCTTCATTTCCTGCTGGTCTTCCCTGCTCTTCTGTGAGCCCACATGCTCAGGAGGAAAGAGAGCAAAGCAGGAGGGAGCGAGCCCTGTGTGGCTCTCGGGGGTCCTGAGCTCTCACAGACACTGGCGGTGCCACCAGGAGCTGCTGCCTGCTCTGGACAGTCAGCTCCTGACTCATCCCTGAGCGTGCTGGGCCTTTGTGCCCTTGCCTCTCATCCCAGCTGTGACATTTCCAAAGGGACAGGGTCATCTGCACCCCTCCTGAGAGGTGACTCTGCTGTCCCCACACATGGCCACCCTGTCACCCGTGTGGGTGCCACCCTCTCAGGTGGCAGGAGCTCATGGGACAGGAGCAGCTCTGCCCTGCCTGTGAGGGGGACACGGCTGTCCCCTGCCCTGTGAGGGACAGGTGGGGACACGGCTGTCCCCAGGGCCAGTGAGGACACTGAGGGACCACAAGTGAGGTGTGGGTCAGAGCCAGAAGTGGGAGGGCTGGGGTCCTGCTGCAGCAGCAGGAGCTGCTCTGGGCGTTCCAGGAGCTGCTCTGGGCGTTCCAGGAGCTGCTCTGGGCACTCCAGGAGCTGCTCTGGGTGTTCCAGGAGCTGCTCTGGGCGTTCCAGGGGCTGCTCTGGACATTCCAGGAGCTGCTCTGGGCATCCCAGGGAGCTCCCAAGGCCAGCCTGGCTGCTCAGGCTGTTTCTGCTCCTCTTTGCCCACCCTGCTGTGTCACAGCTGAGCCATCTCCTGGGGTCCCAGGAGGGACAACACCTGCAGAGCTTCCAGCAGACGTTTATTGGGGTGAGGTGGATGCACGTGGAGCTGTGTCCCTCCTGTGGGCTGGGCTCCTCTCCAGCCCTCCCAGCAGTTCTGTGTGCCCGGGGGGCAGCCTGAGGGCCCCAGGGGGACACACAGACACACCCTGCCCATCCTCCTGAGGGCCCCAGGGGGACACACAGACACACCATGTCCCTCCTCCTGAGGGTCACAGGGGGACACACAGACACACCCTGTCCATCCTCCTGAGGGCCCCAGGGGGGACACACGGACACACCCTGCCCATCCTCCTGAGGGTCACAGGGGGACACACGGACACACCCTGTCCATCCTCCTGAGGGTCACAGGGGGACACACGGACACACCTGCCCATCCTCCTGAGGGTCACAGGGGGACACACAGACACACCCTGTCCCTCCTCCTGCTGGCACCAGCACTGCCTCCGGCCCAGCTGCCTCCAGAGGGGCGAGTTTGGAATCCAGGGCTCTCCTGGCCTCTGGCTCCCCTCAGCCTGACCAAACACGGGCTGGGTCACTCACTGCCCCAGTAAGGCCCTGGGAGGGCAGGAGAGAGGAGCCTTTGGTGTGTGTGGAACAAAGCAAATCCCTGGGGGCCGAGCAGAGCAGCCCTGGAGGGTCTCTGGAGTGGCCCAGGAAGGGATCAGCTCCAGGATGGGATCAGCCCCAGGATGGGATCAGCCCCAGGACGGGATCAGCTTCAGGATGGGATCAGCCCCAGGACGGGATCAGCTCCAGGAGGGGATCAGCTCCAGGATTAAATCAGCTCCAGGACGGGATCAGCCCCAGGATGGGATCAGCTCCAGGAGGGGATCAGCTCCAGGATTAAATCAGCTCCAGGCTGGGATCAGCCCCAGGATGGGATCAGCTCCAGGATGGGATCAGCTCCAGGACGGGATCGGCTCCAGGATGGGATCAGCTCCAGGATGGGATCAGCTCCAGGATGGGATCAGCTCCAGGATGGGATCAGCTCCAGGACGGGATCGGCTCCAGGATGGGATCAGCTCCAGGACAGGATCAGCTCCAGGACAGGATCAGATCCAGGATTAAATCAGCTCCAGGACAGGATCAGCCCCAGGATGGGATCAGCTCCAGGATGGGATCGGCTCCAGGCTGGAAGCTCCCCGTGGCACTGCCAGGGTGCAGCAGGATGCTCTCAAGCAGCAGCTCCAGGTGGTTTTTATCCCTCAGCCCAGGTGTGGGTGCCCTGTCCCGTTCCGTGGGCTCCCTGCTCTGTCCCAGCTCCCAGGCCGGGGTGGGACACGGTGTCTGTGCTGCTGTGGAGGACGTGGGGCCAGCAGAGCTGTGCCAGCAGCCAGAGCTGCCCAGCCAGCCCGGGGCTGCTGCTGCTGCTGCAGGGGAGCCGTGGGCACTGATGGATCCCGGGACAGAGCAGGGAGCAGGCTCTGCCTGCACACCTGGGGAGCAAAGGCAGGAGCTGGGGAAAGGAACTCCAGGCACAGATCCCCTTGTGGCCCCGGGGCCGGGCCTGCTCTGCAGAGCCACTGCCCTGAGCTGAGCTCTGCTGCCTCTGGCTGCAGTGAGAGCTGCAGTGCCCGGGGCCAATCCTGCACAGGGGCCCCTGGCAGCAGCACCTCCCCTCCCAGAGCTGGTCCCACACCCCGGAGCTGCAGCTCTGTGCTCATCCCCCACGGGTGAAGCCCACCCCCAGTTCTTTGGGCCTTGCTGGCCGTGTGTGCCCCCCCAAAGCCCAGCTTGGGGGCAGGAGCTGGGCAGCAGAGCCGTGCTCGGGGCAGGGGCAGCCAGAGCTGCTGCAGTGGGGATCCCCTCCCTGCCAGCTCCCTCGGGGGCAGGGGGAGCCCAGAGCAGGCTGCAGGGGCAGGCAGCCCCCCTGAGGCTCTGCCATTCCCACAGAACTCAGATCAGCTCTGTCCTGAATGGTGGGAGCTGCCTGCTTGGCTCAGCAGCCACGGCACTGCCCTGGCACTGCCACGGCACTCTGGGCAACCCCTGCTCCCAAAATCACCCCAGGAAGAACCAGCCAGCTCCAGGGAAGGGCCAGCACCAAGGAAGCCCCTCCTGCCCGTCCCAGGTGCCCAGGACGTGCCCCTACCATGGCCATGTCCTATGCCAGGCGCTGGCAGAGCCCTACATGATGGAGCAGGTGAAGCCACAGCACTCCCTGAGCAGGGTCAGGCCCGTCTTGGTCACGTAGGGGGCTGAGGTTTGCTGTCCCCTCGATGTCATCTTCTTCTCTCGGGCAGGAGCTGCGGGAACAGGAGCCCAGCTCTGCCTGGGGACAGGGCACAGCCCGGGGCTGCTGCTCACAGCTTCCCTGGGGCTCTGCTGACCCCGAGGAGCAGCAGCTCCCGGGGACACTGCTCTGGGTGTCACAGCTCTTGGGGACACTGCCCTGGGTGTCACAGCTCCCGGGAACACTGCTCTGGGTGTCCCCTGCACCCCAGGGACACTGCTCTGGGTGTCACAGCTCCCGGGGACACTGCTCTGGGTGTCCCCTGCACCCCAGGGACACTGCTCGGGGTGTCACAGCTCCCGGGGACACTGCCCTGGGTGTCACAGCTCCTGGGGACACTGCTCGGGGTGTCCCCTGCACCCTGGGGACACTGCCCTGGGTGTCACAGCCCCTGGGGGCACTGCCCTGGGTGTCACAGCTCCAGGCAGGGACATCCCAGTGCCTGGGACAGGGGACAAGTGCCAGGGAGGTTCAGTGCAGCAATGAGCACGTCAGCACCCACTTGCTCTCTGGAGGCAGCTTTTGGAGAGCTTGCTCTGCAGGAACTCGGCCATCTCCTTGTCTTCTTCCCTTTCCCTGTGACAAAGAACTCGGTCACTGCTCGGGAAAGGAGCAGCAGGGCCCCAGGAGCCCTGGGAAGGCAGGACACAGCTCAGGGGAGGATTGCACGGTCCCCAGCACGAGCAGTACCTGAGCCTCTCAAACTCCACGTCATCCACCAGGAAATCCCGCGTCTCCACCAGCTTGTGGATCTGCTGCACCAGCTCCTCTTCCCTCTGCTTCTCCTCGTTGGATTTCTGGTTCTCTGCAGCAGAGGAGCACAGTCACAGCCACGGGGAGAGCATTTCCCACCCCACAGGAGCCATCCCCCTGCCAAGGCCAGTCCTGCTCTGCTCAGCTCCGAGCGCGGGGGCAAAGCCAACCCACTGGAGCAGCTGGATCCAGGCTGGGGCTGCGCAGCCAGCAGGAATCTCATGGAGCCTCCCTGGCAGGAGGTGACAGCTCTCTGGGGCTCTGCTGGGGCTCTGCTGGGGCTCTCCCACCGCCTGAACTGGGCACTCACCTGGGATCTGTCTGGGCAGCCTGAACCCACCTGCTGGGACAGGGCCACGCCAAGGGCATCAGGCTGTGCCCAAGCACCGCTAATTGGGGTTCATTAACACTGGCTATTTGGGGTTCATTAACACCGCTAATTGGGGTTCATTAACACTGGCTATTTGGGGTTCATTAACACCGCTAATTGGGGTTCATTAACACCGCTATTTGGGGTTCATTAACCCCGCTACTCGCGGTTCATTAATCACCATGAGGAAGAACCTGCCAGGGTTAAGGTCCCACCGGACCAAGGCTGCCCCTTCCTGCAGCTGGCAGAGCCCATCACGGCCACATCTGAACGATGAGAGGCACCTTGGGGACATCAGAATGACGAAAGGCACCTTGGCTGGGGACGTTCTGAGCCCCAGCCCTGGCTGGCTCTGAGCAGCACTGACGTGTTCCCGTCTTTATCCAAAGCCGAGGCTGCCCTGGCTGCCTCACCAGAGCAGGGATGTGCAGGCTTTTTCCAGCACAGACTGGTCTGAGTCAACTTATGAAGACAAAAAGAGCAGAATTTCTGCTCTCAGCTGAGTCTGGGAGTGCTGAAAAGGCAAGAAATGAAAGCCCAAAGCGGATGAAGGAAAGCCAGGCTCATTTCTGCAGTAGCAGAAGAAAACAATTTATCTCTGCTCTGAGCCGTGGTTTAGGGAAAATCTTGGTTTATGGACTGGAAGGAGCTGGGATTGAAACCCCCATGAGATCTGGAGCAAGGAGCTCCTGTTTCCATGGCAGGATGCTCCCCTTACCCCGAGCCTCCATCCACAGCCGAGCCAGGTTTATTGAAGGGAGCAGCACCTGAATATTGAGCAGCACTGGGCTCTGCCCGCGTGCTGAGGGCTGCCAGGCACAGCCAGCACGGTGCCACTGGGGCACCTGCAGGGCCACCCTGGCCTCTGGCTGCCCCTGGGCACAGCACAGAGAAGGGGCCTGGGGACACAGCTGGGCACAGCTGGGCCCTGCCACACCTGCCCTGGGCTGGAGCACAGCACCCTGGGGATCCCAGCACCCTCGGGAGCATCCCCAGAGCCTCACCCGGCAGGGCCAGGAGTTTCTGGAGCTCTGTTTTCAGCCGGCTGATTTCCTTGCACAGTTGGATGTCGTCCATCCTGCGGAGACACAAACGGAACCTCTGGGGGGAAACCTGGGAGAGGAGAGGCTCAAACCCCCAGAGCAACCCCCAGGCAGTGCCTGTGGTGGGGATCCCGGATTTCCCTGCCCTCCCGTGGGAGATGCCAGCCCACTTCAGCCCCGGGAAGCTCCCCAGCCTCCGCAGCCTCCCTCCCTGCAGAGCTGAGCTCCCCCAGCTCCCCACGAGGCAATCCTGGCATGTCCCAGCCCCACGGGACCGCTGTGGCAGCCAAGCCCACCCTGAGGTTTCTGCAGGAGATTTCCCCTTGCTTTCCAAGGGAGAAACCAAACCAGGGGTTAAGGAAACACCAGAGCTGCGAGCTTTGACAGCACCTGAAGGATCAGGTGCTGTTGCCATGGAAAGCCTTAAGAGCTACACTTTTGATGGTTTCCACAACTCCTTTTCAAAACCGAGTTCAGGGGCAGCTGTGCTTTGAAGGGGCTCCAAATCCGAGCCTCTGAAGCAGCTCAGAGCTTCCACTGCCCAGACTAACCCCGGGTTTCCAGGCTGTGGGGGCCCAGTCACATCCCAAAGGCAGCTCAGGAAGTGCTTCAGCCCGGGAAATGTCACCTTTGCCAAAATCCCAGTTTGTGCTGGGTGGGATCTGAGGGCTGGGCTAACCACAGCCCTTTGGTGACATTAAAAACCTCAATCGACCCAAAGCATGGGTGTTAGTTGGGCCTTTTCCTCCAGACACACAAAATCTCCTGAGAGCGCCATGGAAAACATCCTGGATCCCCCGAGGGCAGGCGGGCACCATTGCAGCACAGGGGCTCAGGTCTGCAAGGCTGCAGAATTCAATTCCAGAACTTCCTGGACTGTTGGAATGGAAACAAGGTGGGAACAGCCTCACCCCTGGGGCTGAGCTGTGCTTGGCTGGAGGAGGGGACACTGGGGAGTCCCTGGGAGGGAGCAGCACGAGGGGACAGGCACTCACATGTGGCACAGAGGGACAGACAGACACTCACATGTGGCACAGAGGGACAGACAGACACTCACATGTAGCACACAGAGGGACAGACACACGGCACAGAGGGACAGACAGACGCTCACATGTAGCGCAGCTCCGACTCCCGGCGCACCAGGATCTCCCGGATGCGCTCGATCCTGAAGAGCTCTCCCTCGATGTCGTCCATGGTGGCGCTGGAGTCGGCCATGGACACGACCTCGTCCCCTGGGCAGGAGCAGGAGCCGCCTGAGGCAGCACGAGGGCAGCGGGGCCCTGGGGCAGCCCCGGCAGCAGCAGCAGCAGCAGCACATCCCTGCTCCCGGCCGTGCTGGGACACAGCCCACACTCCCGGGGCACACAGCCCACACTCCCGGGGTCTGCCCTCCCGGGGACACAGCCCACACTCCCGGGGGTCTGCCCTCCCAGGGGACACAGCCCACACTCCCGGGGCACACAGCCCACACTCCCGGGGTCTGCCCTCCCGGGGACACAGCCCACTCTCCCGGGGGACACAGCCCACTCTCCCGGGGGTCTGCCCTCCGGAGCAGCAGGAGCCCAAGGCAGCTGCAGACTGCTGGAGGGGAGGGCAGGAGGGTCCCTTCCCTTTTCCAGAGGCACAGAAACCTCCAGCACGTCCAGCACAGAGAGCTGGGCCTGCCCAGCACCCTCCTGCTGCCCGAGCAAACCCCGGGCACACACAGCCCAGAGCTCAGGAGCCAGGGTGAATCCCTCCGGCTGCTCCCCCTCCATCACACACTGGATGAACACCCCCATCCTTCCCAGCCCTGGGGTGAGCCCCCCGTGAGGTCCCTCACCCTCTGCAGTGCTGAGGATCACACCCACCCCCACGTGGGGAAACTGAGGCAGGAAAGGGGGAGGGCACCTGCTCAGGAGGAGAGGCAGGAGCTTCACAGCAAAATGTGGGATCAAGGGGCTGTAATTTATGTTTTAGAGGGATGGACAGGATAAAGCCCATCCACCTCCTCCGGCTCTGACCAGCAGCTCTGCCTCCTCTGCTGTGACTCACACTCAGATCCCACTCGTTTGCTCCTGCCTGTCCCCTGGATTTCCTTGGATTTCCTCTGGATGTCCGCAGGGACTCCCAGCCAGGTTTAGGGAACAGCTGAAGGTTTGCTCCAGGCCAGCTCCCCGCCTGGGCTGGCTCTGTCACCACACTGAGCCTGTCACCAGTGCCAGGCAGCAGCGCCTTCATCCCACCCCAGCCAGCCCCACACTCCCGGGATGTGCTGGGGCTGGGGGCAGAGCCATTCCTTGGATTTCCTCTGGATGTCCGCAGGGACTCCCAGCCAGGTTTAGGGAACAGCTGAAGGTTTGCTCCAGGCCAGCTCCCCGCCTGGGCTGGCTCTGTCACCACACTGAGCCTGTCACCAGGGCCAGGCAGCAGCGCCTTCATTCCACCCCAGCCAGCCCCACACTCCCGGGGACTGGGGGCAGGGACTGGCTGTGGGAGAACACCCCAAACCCTTCCAAATGTCCTGCAGGGGCTGGGTCTGCTCCTCTGAGCCTCCACAGGACACATCTCGCCAGGAGGTTCTGCCTTCCCGCAGCCCTGGGATGTCCCCGTGCAGGAAGGGGGGATAGCACAGGGAGCACAGCTGCTCCAGGAGCAGGAATTCCCGGGCAGGGGTGCTGGGAGATGCCAGCGAGTGCGGGCTGGGCATTCTGAGCAGCAGCCAGGCCAGTGCTGAGGGGTACAGGGCAGCAAGAGACAAACCCCAGGGCACAGCACCAGACACTGCACTCTCTGTCCCCTCCCCATCACAAAACTGCTCAGAAATTGTTCCCAGAGTGGGACATATTTGCAAGACTTCCAGCAGGGGAGGTTTATTGTGGAAATAGATGGTTTGGATCCGTGTGAGTGCTTTGGGGAAGGGTTTTCTGCTGTTCCTGGCTTGGAAAGGGGGTCCTTTCCAAGGCTGAGGGCTCGGGGGGTTGTGTCCCTCCCCCAGGCAGGACGGCCGGGCTCAGCTGACGCCAGGGCTGACCCTGGCTCCCTGCTCGGGCTCGGCCAGGGGGAGGCTGGCTGAGCCCTCCAGCAGCTCTGCCCGGCTCTGCACGGCCCCCCTCCTTGCTGAGGTTGCCAAGGGACCGGCTGAGCCTGCTACAGCATCACACGCGGTTGCTAAGGGACCAGAGTGCGGTTGCTAGGGGACCAGGATGCTGAGGTCCTTCATCCCGAGCATTCCGGGGCTCTGCCACCCCGAAGCTCCTCTGGCCTGGGATATTTTGCTGCAGCTGCACCAGCTGAGAGCTGGGGATGGCCCCAGGGGCCCGCGGCAGATGCTGCCAGATGTGCAGGGACCAGCACAGCTGGAGGGGCAGGTGGCGCAGCCGCCACGTGCCTGTGGGCAGCCATGTCACCAAAAGCTGCGCTGCTGTGTCCCTGTGTGCCGAGGCTGGTGCTGTCCCGATGTGCCAATAAACACAGGGACACAAACCCGGGGCAGCCTCCGTGCCCAGGGACACCCCGACCTGCCCGGGACACGGGGCTGGGGAGGGGACGGTCCCCCTGGCCTGGGGAGCACCCCGGGGTGCTCTGATCCCTGCTGGAACAGTCACCGCGCTGAGGTTCCCCGGCTCCCGGGGCAGCGCCAGGGCTGCAGCAGCTGCCAGCACCCCAGAATGACAGAGGGACAACATTCCAGGGGACAGGATGGGAATCCCCGCCCGTGAGGGCAAAGGGAGGAGGGGACAGCGCTGGGACAGGAGGAGGTGACAGGGCTGGGACAGGAGGAGGTGACAATGCTGGAAAGAGAGGAGGGAAGGAGCGGGCAGCCCTGGGAGGGGAGGAGCGGGCAGGGCTGAGCTGCTTTCCCCCACCTGCAGCAGGAGGCTGGGATGTAATTCCAGCCCCTGGGCAGAGCAGGAAAGCTCCAGGCTCGGCTCTGGGCTGGTTCCCATCGGCGTGGCTGGCACCACGCTGCCCTCACATGCTGCTCCCGTCACCTTTCTGCTGGACACTGACCAGGTCAGGAGTGTCCTGTGGTATAGGGACAGTGGGAAGGTCACAGCCCAGCCAGGGGTGCCAGCCCTGGCTGAGCCTTCAGGTGCTGTGCTCAGCTGCTGCTCCCGTCACCTTTCTGCTGGACACTCACCAGGTCAGGAGTGTCCTGTGGCATGGGGACAGTGGGAAGGTCACAGCCCAGCCCAGCCAGGGCTGCAGGGCTCAGCTGGGGGGTGCCAGCCCTTGGCTGAGCCTTCAGGTGCTGTGCTCAGGTCCTGGCACTCTGCAGCCCTCAGGAATTCCAGGGAACTGCTCCCCAAGCCGGCGGTGCTGGACAGGAAGCTCTGACAGGACCTTCGTGTCCCTGGAGCTGCTGAATTCAGGGCAGAAGCAGAGGGAGGGCAATGCCAGGGGAGAGCCCCCGGAAAATTAACCCACAAACCCTGGGAGGGAGCACGTGGAGAAGGGGACACCCAGGGCAGGGTGCTCACTAAAGCTGGGAGCAAGCCCACAGCCCAAATGTCCCTGTGGGGACAGACAGGGATGGCCCCATGCGTGGCCACACTGCCCAGGGCTCTCCCAGAGCAGCACGGCCATGCACAGAGCCCCCACACAGAAAACCCCCAGTGCCTGAGCCAAGGGGATCCTGCCTGGCACCACTTCAGCCTGGCAAACCAAGGACAGAAATTTGGAGATGCTCTGATCATCCCAGCGGGCCCAGGCAGGGGTGGAATAGCCAGAGACTTCCATTCCAGATGGTTTGGGGACAACATTTGGGCAGCCAGCAGCCAGCTGGGATGAGTCACAGCAGCCAACAGTGCAGGGGGAGCTTCAAGCAATTTTCCTCAGGATTAAAGCTGGGAAATGGACTGACAGCCCCTGTGGAGGGGCCAGAGCCCTTTATGGGGGCACCATCCCGAGAAGCCTCAACTCAGCCCTGTGTTTTCCTCTGCTCCTGCCAGCAGCAGGGCCAGGGGACATTCAGCCCGAGCTCCAGCAGGACAAGAGGCTCCAGGAGCTCAGGGCTGCACAGGCTTGGTCTGAGCTGTCCTGGTGGGGAGCAAGCAGCAGAGCAGCACCCGACCAGCAGGCAGGGATTGCTGCCACGTTCTCACCTGTCCCAAGGTTCTCACCCAGCCCCAGGAGCTGGGAGCTCACAGAACTGCTCTGACCAGCAAAATCTCAGCCAGCACAGCCCTGCTCACAGGCACCCACGGGGGATGTCCTGCCCATACCAGCACCCTGAGTGCAGTGCCTGGCCCAGCCCGGTGTCACCCAGCTCTGAGCAGAGGACGGGCTGGTGCAGGTGCTCAGAGCCCCAGGGAGGTGGAGGGGACAATACACACTGCCAGGAAAGGCACAAAGGGAAAGGACCAAAACTTCCCACAGCTCAAGCAGGAGCTGAGCACCTTCATGAGCACCGCACAACCCCCAGGCAGTACCCAGCAGGATGCTGGAGTTGGCTGATCCCTGCTCCCCTGCCTGTCCAGCTGCCTGCCCGTGCCCGCTGTGTGCGAGGGGCTGAGGGGGAGCAGAGAGGGACAGGGGAGGGGTGGCACAGCAGAGGGATTGCAGGCGCCTCCCTCCGCCCAGCCCAGCGCTGCGACCCTTCCTCCCAGCCCAAGGTCGAGGGCTGCGCTCAAGGCAATTCCCCCGCTCTCCTCACCGCGTCCTGCCGGGGAACCGGTCTGAGAGGGGCAAAGGCGGTGAGGGACAGGGCGAGCCCGCCTTGCCCCGCTCACAGCCGTGCCCAGGGCCGCGCACGGCAGCACCGTGTCCGGCAGGGCAGCAGCAGCGAGATGTGACCGAGCTCCGCCGGTCTGTCCCTCCAGACACCCCCTGCCACCGCCCTTCCTCCCACCCAGCCCTTTCTCCCCGTCCTTACTGCCCCCCATCCAGCCATTCCGTCCGTCCGTCCATCCATCCATCCATCCCCCCCCGCTCCCGATGGCCGCTCCGGGGACCCCGGCTGGGCTCCGTCTGGAGGATGAAGCCGCCGGTTTCCCTCCAGCTCCCGGGGCTCGGCGCCCGGATTGTCCCGGAGCCCCGGGGGCGGGGGAAGTTGGGCTCGGCCGGTGCCGGTGTCGGTGCCGCGGCGCTCACCTGGCCCCGCGCCGGCCGGCGGCCAGCGGGTGGATTCCATGGATCCGTAGCGGGGAGAAGAGCGGCTGCCCTCCATCCGCAGCCCAGCGCGCCGTGCTCCGCCGGGGCGGGGGCTCCGCCGCTCCCTCCGCTCCTCTCCCTCCGCTCCGCTCCTCTCCCTCCGCTCCCGCCGCTCCTCTCCCTCCGCTCCCGCCCCGTAGCGGGGAGAAGAGCGGCTGCCCTCCATCCGCAGCCCAGCGCGCCGTGCTCCGCCGGGGCGGGGGCTCCGCCGCTCCCTCCGCTCCTCTCCCTCCGCTCCGCTCCTCTCCCTCCGCTCCCTCCGCTCCTCTCCCTCCGCTCCCTCCGCTCCTCTCCCGCCGCTCCCTCCGCGCCGCTCTCGCCGCTCCGCCGGGGCGGGGGCTCTCACCGATCCCACCGCTCCGCTCCCGCCGCTCCCTCCCCGCCGAGCCCCCCGCCTGCAGCCCCCGCAGCTTGCCCCGGGCCGTGCCCCGGGCTGGTCCCGGCCCCTTTCGGGCCGTTTCACCCCCAAACGCGCAGCATCGGCACCGACCGAGCGGGGCCGGGCACTGAAGGCGCCCAGGCTCCGGGGGACACGGGGCACAGCACCCAACAGCCCCCCAAGACCCGCCGAGCCAGGGCAGCTCTGCTTTCTGGGAGAAGCAACTTTTCCCCATGGAAAAAGCCAGCAGTGAGAGTCTGAGCCACGCTCCAGGGGCTGCAGTCCGGCAGCGCCCAGCAGGACCCTGGCGCTCCCTCCTCGCTCCGGCAGGGACAGCGATGCCCGGTGGCACTGCCCTGGGGCTGGGCACAGCACGGGACAGCCATGCCCGGTGGCACTGCCCTGGGGCCGGGCACAGCACAGGGCACGGGAAGGGGGGCTGGGGGGCAGACCCTCCCCTCACGGGGGTTTGTGCTCCCAGAGCACCCGGCTGAGGATTCACGGCAGTGCAGGGACACACCTCAGCACCCCCTGCCCCAAAACACCCTGAGGGGACACACGAGGCTCCTCTGCTGGGACGCTTCTCGGCCAGGACGCGCCCGTAGGTGACACTGGTGTCCCCAGGCACAGGTCCGAGGGCTCAGGGACACTTCGGGAAGTGCCACTGGCTGGAGAGCAGGGACACGGTGACACAGGGAGGGTTTGGGGGATCAGCCCCTGGGCTCTGCTCGCAGCAGCCCCAGCTCCAGCCAGTGAAACACAAACCTGAGGAAAATCCAGGAATTCTCACATCCAACAGCCAGGGGAGGTCCCGGCTTTTGACCCAGTCAAATGATTTGAAGCAGAACACGTGCCAGAGAGATGGTGCTTCATTCTTTGAGGATCACTGTGGAATACAAACACAAGGAGGCAAAAATTAAGAGTCTCTGTCTAAAAATGGGGGGAAATGATGTGGGAGCTGCTGCTCTGGGATGGAAATGCAGCAGCAGCACTCTGAAAATGCAGGAGCACTCTCCCAGGAGCAGCACGAAGCCAGGAGGCCGTGGAGGTGGGCTGTGAGCTGGAAGGGTGACCCTTGACAACCAGGGAGCCCCAGCATTCCAGGGAATGGCTCGGGAATGCCCCGGGGCTGTGAGGAACTGCCGGCTCCCTCCCTGGTTGGGGTGTGCAGGGAAGGAGAGCCATGGAGCCTCTCACCCGATGAATGATGAGCACCCCAGCCCTGGAGCCAGCGGGGCTGCAGTGACTCACCTTGTTTTGGTCGCTCCGAAGCGCAGAGAAAATGAACCTGTAAATGTTTTAATCAGTTCTTCAGGCAAGCACTCTCCAGGATGATTTTAGCTGCGAGCAGCCAGATCTGCTGGGGGCTGAACTTGAGTTTGATGCATTTTATAGGCTCACTTTATCGGAGTAAATCAGACAGCCCAGCGTCACCCACGGCCAGGATACAATTCACACACCGTCGGAGCTGCTGGGCTGGATGGAATCCTCCGGGACAAATCCTCCGTGCAGAGGGAAGTGCAGATGAGGGAGAGGAGCAGCCTCGCCCAGGTCCTGGAATTCTGAGGAGTTTCAGTGGGACCTTCCCCTGCCCCTCCTTAGGGAGAGGCGCTCGTGCTGTGGACGGGCAGGCTTTAAGGGGATGCCCAAAGCTCAATGTCAGTCTGACAATCTTGCACAATTAGGGTTTTTTTTAAGATTATCAATGCATTAAACACGTTCGGTGCAGATTCAGGGGGGTCACCCCTCTGCACAGCTCCAGGATGGACCGGCTCCTGTCGCTGCAAGGCTTCTCCCTGCGAACCTGGACTCCAGCAGCTGCTGCTGTGCTGAGGCGGATAAAAAGGGCACAGCTCCCCCAGGTAATCGGCTTCTAAGGAGGGCAGCGCTGGCAGCTGAAGCAGCAGCTGCATTTCAAAGCGTTCCAGCTCTTTCTGAGCCGCTCACAAAGGCTCAGGGTGTGCTGCGTGCGGGGATGAGCCTGACTGCTGGCAGATCCCCCATTAACACGCTTTGTTCCTCAGGTATTACACCATAATAAGACCGGGAGAAATTCTTGACATCAAAATTGCTCCACTCGTGTTTGAATTCCCGGGAGAAGATAACATCTTAATAAAAAGTTCCAGCTATTCTTGGCACGGGGACAGCTCTATCTCCAGAGCCATTCCAGCAGAGCATTGTGCTGGCACGGAGGCTCGCCGCCAGAAGAGAGGGAGCTAATTGCCCTGAAAGCTTCTGATGTACAGATGATGCGGGATCGATGCATGCAGAGAGAGGAATGATCGCCCGGATCCTCTCCTTGTCTGCAGCGCTTCCTGCCGAGCCCACAGCGCGGCAGGGTGACACACCGCCAGGCCATTTGCATATGCCACGCTAAATGTGCATCTCCATAAATATTCTGCTTTCTGCAGCTGCCTGCCTCGGGGCCTGTGAGCCGCTCGGGCAGATGTTACTGAAACCCATCCCTGTGCACAGGAAGGATGCGCTTCCCTGGCCGGGGAGTACCTGATAGCTGACAGCAGCCTTTGCTGCGGCTGAAGGACTCCGAGGCTCATTTAAACCCCATTTAAGGTCTTTGGATGACACCAGACCACCGATTTTCCATTGAGAAGCAGAACTTACCTCCTGGAGAGGGGCTGAAGTCTGTGCCTTGGAGGTGAAGGCAGGGCAGGTGAGGAGGTTCAACCCAGGAACGGGTTAAAAGAGGAAGGTTGGAAACCAGTAACTTCCAGCTGGGAATAACCTGGGATAACTCATGGTGAAGGAGAACCCCTGGCATGGAGCGAGTGCACCTGTGCCCAGGGGTTGCTTTGGGGGCCCCTGGTTAGTGAGGACAGAAATGAATTCCCTTCTCTCTCTGGGGTGCTGCTGTCCCTGCCTGGCCGCTCCAGCAGCCGGAGGAGCCAGCTCGGGATGCAGGGCGGGTATCCCATCCCGCCCCCCGAAATTCCAGCCTGCACAAGTGCCAGGCTCCTTCCTGCCACCCGGAACGCACTTTTGAATTGATGGTGATTTCTGGATGTTATCATTACACCAGGTTCCCATTCCCCACAGATTTAGGTACAGACTACTTGAGGCTCCTTCCTGCCACCCGGAACGCACTTTTGAATTGATGGTGATTTCTGGATATTATCATTACACCAGGCTCCCACTGCACCCCACAGATTTAGGTACAGACTGCTTGGTGCCCTGCTGCTGTATCCAATTCCTGTTAAAGCCCTCATCCTTCATAGCCTTTACCAGCCAGCCCTTTCTCCTCCTCCGAGTCACTCATTTCACTGCAATCAGCAGCCAGGAGCCGGGAATAATTAATTTTTCTCTGCCGGGGCTCGCCCCCATCCCGGGGGACGCGGGCAGGAGCCGCGTGGAGCGGGATTGTGTCCAGGCGGGTGTGGAATATCCCAGCGAGGGACGCTCCACAGCCTCCCTGGACGATCTGTTCAGGGCTCGGTCAGTGCACAGGGAAGAACTGAGCCCCTCGTCCAGGTGGAGCTCCTGAGCACCCCAACCACGTACAAACACACAACGACCACCGACTGGCAGCTTCAGCTTGGGTTTGTCTTCATTTCCTTCAGTTGGCACTAAAAGGATTGCACCCCCCGGTACAAGTCATCCACAACACCTATACAAATAATTTATCATCCATCTACAACATTTACAGCTGTACAGAACAAACTGCACACCAGCCCCCACCCCAGGCCAGCTCCAAGCCTTTTGGCTTTCTGAGCCTTTTCTTGGCGTGCAAACCCCACAGGAAGCCCCGGAGGGGCAGGGGGGTGCAGAGGGGTCACCCTTAAAGCCCACACGATCCCAACAGGAGCTGCTCGTGCAGGGTTCCCTGAGGTACCGAGAGCTCCTGCCGCCCCTCAGCTTCCTCCAGGGACACAGTGTTTGCTGCCGCGGTCTGGCACTGGGGAGCACCACCAGTGTTTGGCTTGTGAGGTGAAAACCTGGCCCTGCTGGGCTGGGAGACATCTCCAAAAGAAATATTGCTGCTGCCAGCTGCCCTGGGCTCCCCAGGACAGGCAGCACCGCCTCCCGCGGATCTTCCTCGCTCTTCCCGAATGGAGAGCTCAAAGCTTTCCCTGACCTGTGCCAAAGGTGAAAGCTCAGTCCTGCAGCACGGCTGTGCCCTTGGCAGGGGCTGTCAGCCACTGTCACACTCCACAGGGCAGGGCTGTGCCCTTGGCAGGGGCTGTCAGCCACTGTCACACTGCCACAGGGCAGGGCTGTGCCCTCCGAGCCCACCCAGCTCTGCTGGGGCAGCTCCTCACACCATTGCCATGTGAAGTCACCACTGGTGGCTTTTTTTGTGTTTCCTTTCCCCGTGTCCTCTGTGCTGACCCCGTGTCATCACTCACAGCTTCTCCCGTGTCCTTCAGGGGATGACTCCTGCAAAAGTGTTGATGGGCAGCAGCAGAGACTTGGGCAGGTATTTCACAAGCCCCACGTCTTCTGTTTCCTGAGGGCTGAATTTCGTGGTCCTCGTCTTCTGCAGACAGTAGCTGGGCTCGAGGCAGGGAGACACCTCCAGGCTGGAAGAGCACAGAACACATTTGCTGTGGCAGTTCCGATGTGATCTCGGAGCAAAGCCCGGCTCTCCCAGGCCAGGTGCAGCTGCATTGCTGCTCTCTGCGGCTGGGCTTGGCTGCAGAGATGAGCTGTCAGTGTTGGACACAACCCCGGGGCCCTGAGCCTCGCTCAGTGTGACTCAGGAATTCAGTTTATGTCGGCTGGACCCTGAACCACCAGCACATCCCGAGCCCTGCAGCTGCTCCAGGCACATTAACCCCGCCGTGTCCACAGGGCTGGGTCCTCTCCCACCCTGCAGCTGCTGGAGACCCCGGGGAGGGATGCAGGCAGTGCAGAGAGCATCAGCACCCTGATGCAATCCATCGTTCAGGGGATCTGAGCTCTGCTTGTCCCTGGAGGTGCCTGCTTTCCTCCTGCCTCAACGACTGCACCTCTTGTGGGAAGAACCATTTTATTCCTCACACCCCCTCCCGAAAACACAATTGTAGGAGAGCCCCAGCGTGCCCTGCTGTCCCTGGAGGAGGAAGGAGGGGTTTTGTCACGGGTGAGGGTCGGGGACAGGAGGGCATCAGGCAGATGTGCCGAGCTGGCACCCCAGGGCTCTCACCCGACCACGTCCCTGTAGGTTCTCCTGCTGTCCTTGTCCAGCTGCACCGTGAAGGGTCTCTGCTCTGGGCTCCTGACCTTGATGCTCCGTGTTCTGAACCTGTTTGCCACAGCCTGGAGGGGCAGAGGAGGGAGAGCTGCTGGGGCTGCCCCTCCCAGCCCGGGCTGCGTGCTGGCTGTGACAGGCACGGATAATGACATTCCTCTGGTTTTCTTTTTAACTTCGGATGTGACACAAAGAGAATCCTTTCTCTGTATTCTGAACCTGGCACTGACCAGCAGGGATGGGAGTGACCAGCAGGGATGAGAGTGACCAGCAGGGATGGCACTGACCAGCAGGGATGAGAGTGACCAGCAGGGAGGGCAGTGACCAGCAGGGAGGGCAGTGACCAGCAGGGATGAGAGTGACCAGCAGGGATGAGAGTGACCAGCAGGGAGGGCAGTGATCAGCAAGGAGGGCAGTGACCAGCAGGGAGGGCAGTGACCAGCAGGGGTGACACCCAGGGTGTCTGGGGTTTTGGCTCAAACATCCAGACTTTTCCATGGGAAATAATGACAGGGTGGCCCCAAAGCCCTCTCCTCCCCCCGGGGTTGCCCCTTTCCCTGCTGCTGAAGGGATTTGGGCCCTGAGGATCCCACGGGCACTCACTGAGAACGAGCGTCCTGCCAAGTTGCTGGTCCTGATGATTTCGGTGACGATCACAGTCAGGCAGCCCAGGTCTGGACAGAAGCAGAGGGTTGTTCTGGGGCCATGGCACAGCCTCAGCTCAGCTCTCGGGGGCCCTGCCCCACGTGTGGGTCACTGACTGTGGACACGCGGGACTCCAGCAGGCTCCAAGGGCACAGGAATTGTGTGGGATCGTGCCCGGGGTGCAAAGCTCAGAGGCTGTGTGGGGGCCAGCTGAATGAGGAGGGCTGGAGCAGAGGGGAGATGCTGAAATCCTGTCTGAGCCTCAGACACGTCATTCCTGAGAAAACCCCCACCAGACCGTGGGCACACCAACATTCCTGTCACTGATTCCACCCCAGAGCTGGCACCAAGGACCATGGCCAGATTCACTGCACTGAGCACCAGAGACCTCAGGAAGGAGGAAGAACCCACCTTCAGCCTCCTCAGCAGGGATGGCTTTCATCAGCAGGCCCGTGGAGCGCAGGGACAGGGCCAGCTCCTTCTGCCGGTCACTGAGCACGACCTGCGGGCAAGGGGCATTGTCCTGGCATTGCCCTGGCAGTGCCCTGGCAGTGCCCTGCCATTGCCCTGGCATTGTCCTGGCAGTGCCCTGGCAGTGCCCTGGCAGTGCCCTGGCATTGTCCTGGCATTGTCCTGGCAGTGCCCTGGCAGTGCCCTGGCAGTGTCCTGTCTGTGTCCTGGCATTGTCCTGGCAGTGCCCTGGCAGTGTCCTGGCAGTGTCCTGGCATTGCCCTGGCATTGTCCTGGCAGTGTCCTGGCATTGTCCTGGCAGTGCCCTGGCATTGCCCTGGCATTGCCCTGGCAGTGTCCTGGCAGTGTCCTGGCATTGTCCTGGCAGTGTCCTGGCAGTGTCCTGGCAGTGTCCTGGCAGTGCCCTGGCAGTGTCCTGGCAGTGTCCTGGCAGCGCCCTGGCAGTGTCCTGGCAGTGTCCTGGCATTGCCCTGGCAGTGTCCTGGCAGTGTCCTGGCAGTGCCCTGGCATTGTCCTGGCAGTGTCCTGGCAGTGCCCTGGCAGTGTCCTGGCAGTGTCCCTGGCATTGTCCTGGCATTGTCCTGGCATTGTCCTGGCAGTGCCCTGGCAGTGCCCTGGCCTGGCGAGGGCTGGGCACAGCTTGTCACAAGCACAGGGGGCTAACAGGCTCACCACAACCCGCTGTCCTTGCCGGGACAGCAATTTCAGAGGGAAGAGGGAGGGTCAGTGCCCCTTCAGGAGATCTGTGCCCGGCTGGGGCAGGGACTGGGGTGCAGGAGCCCACTCACCCGCCTGTAGGTCACTGTGAGATCCATGCCAGGCCCATCCAGGGCGCTTTTCCTCTTGGTTGTGCTCAGCTCTGCAGGAGGGAACCAGGTGGGGTTGGCTCTCCCTCCTCCCACCTGTCTGTGCTCAGCAGAGGGATCCCCCATGGGCTGAGCCCCCCAGTGTCCCAGCACGGCCTTCTGTCACACTGTGTCCCTTCTGTCCCTCTCCTGGGAGCTGTGCCAGCGGGACAGACTCGCTGCAGGCTCTGTGCCAACCTCAGTGACAAACACGCACTGGGCTGGCACCGGAGTGCAGCGACAGAGGAGCTGGGTGGCACGGCTGGAACAGCCTCCAGGCACTCCTGCTCCAGCCCCGGCAGCTCGAGGAACTGCATTTCCCTCAGGAAAAACACCTGGCTGTGAAGCCAGCTTCCTTCCTCGACTAAAGCAGGGCTCAGGCCCAGCAAAGGCACAGAGTGCAAACCCCGGCAGAGCCAGGAGCCCGCGGCCACCAGGGCTGGCAGCAGCTGATCCCCTGGGCCCAGGAGATCAGGAACGAGGAACATTGCCATGGCCTGGAGCTGGGGGGACACACACCTCTGTGCGAGGGGCTGTCCTGCACCTGGGTCAGCAGCTCCGTCAGGAACACGTCCTCAGCTGGCTCCTGGGCTGGGTCCTGGAACAGGAGCTGGAAGAGAGGAACAGCCCTGGAGGAACAGCCGTGAGAGACACAGCCCTGGAGGAACAGCCTTGGGAGAAACAGCCGTGAGAGACACAGCCCTGAGAGGGACAGCCCTGAGAGACACAGCCCTGGGGGAACAGCCCTGGAGGAACAGCCCTGGAGGAACAGCCCTGAGAGGGACAGCCCTGGAGGAATAGCCCTGAGAGACACATCTCTGAGAGACACAGCCCTGAGAGGAACAGCCCTGGAGGAACAGCCGTGAGAGACACAGCCCGGAGAGGAACAGCCCTGGAGGAACAGCCCTGAGAGCCACGGGCAGTGTCCCCTCCACTGGGTGTCACTGTGCCCTCAGAGATGTCACTCCCTCGTCACCGGAGCGCTCCCCCAGGCCAGGCTGAGCTGCTGCTGAGCTTCAGGGGACGCCGTTTCTCTCTGACCCAACCTCAATGGCCAGCCCACCCAGCCCTGGGGATTATTTCCTCTCCTCGGGGCTGTCTTGGCCAAGGTGTGCCGAGCAGGTCCTGCAGCTCCTGTCCCAGCTCCGGTGCGCCTGGGCTCCCACCGGGGCAGCTCCTGCAGCCGGGCAGGCACAGGGGCTCCTCAGGCAGGAGGGAGAGCAGGGCAGGCTCTGCAGCAGAGCCCCACACCCTGCAGGGCAGCAGAGCAGCTCGGTCTCTGTCCAAACTCCTCATCCCTGCCTGAACCACCCACGCCCTCACTGCCAGCCTTCACCTCCGAGCACAAATGAGTGGGAGGACATCTCCCCGGAAAATCCAAATGCCCAGGCACAGCCCCAGGTGCTCCCAGGACTGGCAGGCTGTGGGCTATTAGTGGAGTCCTGGGGATGTTCCACCAGGAATGACCAAAGCTCTCTGCAAGCCTGGTGCAGGGGCTCCTCCTGGGCTGCAATAAATGCCACAGTGGCTGTGAGCGGAGCTCTGTGCATCAGCCTGGGCTTTGGAGGGGCTGCCAGAGCTACCAGAGGAGCAGAGACGGAAGGGTTAATGTGGTATGTCCAAATTTAGCCCTTCTTTGCTGTCCTACCAAATGCCAGGCCTCGCTCTGATAGCACCTCAGAGCAAAGGTGGCAGGAAATAAATCAAATGGCGCTGCAGGAAATCCTGCAAAGCCCTGCAGGTCCAGGGAGGTGCTGGCAAAGCTGCTCAGCACAGCCCTGCTCGCTCCCAGCACCTCCCAGGGGGAGGCACAGGGCTCCTGAGCACCCCGAGCCCCGCAGAGCAGGACCCCTGACCCTGTGGGGGATTTCAGGGCTCCCCTGTCTGAGCTGAGGTGCCCACACGGCCCTGCCAGGGGCGTTGTGATGGGTTTTTTTTACTGAGTGAGCCCCAGGGTCAGGGGCTGCGGGAGGGACGGGCTGGGGAGCGGGATCCAGGCTCGGGTCTGCTGGAACCCCAGCCCCCCGGCTCTGCACGGCTCTGCCAGCCCTGCAGGGCTGCTGCAGGCCCGCGGCTGTGCCCGCTGTGCCACCCACCTTGGCAGAGTGCAGCTGGAAGCAGACGGGCTGGGTGCCCATGCGCGCGTAGTAGGCGATGACATCGGTGAGGAACGGGTCGGTCACCAGGGCCCGGCTCGGCGACCACGGCTGCGGGAAAGCACAGGCTGCCTCAGCCCTGGCACTTCTCAGAAACCCTGCCACAAGGCCTCACACCTTCCCGGACCCCGAGCAAGGGATGAGCTGTCCTCTGGCCTCGCCCCTCACGGGGGGCAGGAGCTGTGCCCACCTGCAAGCCCTTTCTGTGTGGGCTGGCAGTGGTGGCTCAAAGTGCCGGGAAATGACAGCTGGGGGGATTTCAGCAAAGGTTTTCTGTCTTGAAATCTGCCATTTCCTGTCCTCTGGTCAAAAAAACCCATCACAGCAAACGGCTTTTGTGGGCTGGGGCAGTGTCAGACACGGGCACCTCTGGAGGGTTTGGAGGGGAAATCTGTGCCTGGGGATGGAGAGCCCTGCAGGGCCTGGGAGGGCTTGGAAAATGTCTGGGGATGGAGAGCCCTGCAGGGCCTGGGGAGGGTTTTGGGGGGAAATCTCTGCCAGGGGATGGAGAGCCCTGCAGGGCACAGAGCCCTCCTCAGGTGTTTTTGGGACACAGGAAGGTTTCCTCGTACCATGGTGGCCAGCTTGGGGATCATGTGGCTCAGGGTGTTGATGTTGCTCTCGTACCAGGGGTCAGCCCTGCCCAGGTACCCGGCCACCTCGCACAGCTCCTCGGGGCCAGCGTGGTCCTGCAGGGAAACACAGACACAGCCTGGGGAGTGTTTCCTTTTCCTGGGCTTGTGTTGAGCCCAACGTGAGGAGAAGGTCCTGGAGAGCCCCTCCCAGCCACTGCCAGCCCTAAACCCAGCTCCTGTGGGACGTGGCTCACACTCCTGTTCCTGCTGCCAAGCATACACAGGGGGCTCACCACATCAGGAGCCATGAGGAGGTAGAGAGACCTGAGACATTCCCCATCCCTTCCCCTTCCCTGCTCAAACTCATTTAGCAAAACTTCCCTGAGGAATGAAAAGAAGGAATTCTGATTCTTTAACAGCCTCTTTGCCAGGGGTCACAGCCAGCTCTGGGCCAGCTTAAAATATCCTAAATGCAATTGGTTCTTTACCTCTGTCCAAGGGGAAGGGACGTGCCTGACATAAACCACAAGCAGAGACTCACAGACCAAACCTTGGCCATGGCCAAGGAGGCAAAGGCCTCAATGCTTCCCCTCAGCATCTGGGAGGGGGGAAAGCAGCACTCCTCGGCTAAACCTCACAGATCCCTCTGCAGCTGAGGCCTGGACGCAGAACGGAAGGGGCTGTGACCCCAAACTGAGCCCAGCAGCTCGGTGTTGGCTCCCACCCTCCCTGTTCTGGGGCCAGGGCAGAATTCCTGATCCCTGCCCTCCCCGGCACTCACGGCAGCAGCAGAGGGCACCACCGGGATGTGGTAGAACTGCAGGTCCAGCCTGGGCGTCAGGAACACTCGCCGGGCTTCCCGTTTCCTGGGGTGCAAGCGGAGCTGTGCCGAGGGCAGGGGCCGAGGGCAGCTCCTGGCACGGCTGGCAGTGCCAGGCACTGCGGCCACCCTGCCACGGCCCCCTCGCTGCCTCCTGCCCACCATGTGCCCTGGGCTCCAAATCAAGCAAGAGGAGGTGGTGGGGAGCCTCGGAGAGGTTTTTGTCAGGGCCTGGTGTCCCTGTGCACCCAGCTCTGCCCCCAGGCTGCCCACACTGTCACCCACCCCCCCGGGGAACCAGCGGGGACAGCCAGCAGGGAAACAGCTTCTCTGGAGGAATTTTCCCTTTGGCACGGGAAAACACCCTGCCTCGTTTGTTGTTGGTTTAACCGACCCCCGGACAGAGGGGAGGGCTGGCTGTGCCCATCACTGGGGCCATGAGAGCCCCGGACAGAGGGGAGGGCTGGCTGTGAGCATCACTGGGGCCATGAGAGCCCCGGACAGAGGGGAGGGCTGGCTGTGAGCATCACTGGGGCCATGAGAGCCCCGGACAGAGGGGAGGGCTGGCTGTGCCCATCACTGGGGCCATGAGAGCCCCGGACAGAGGGGAGGGCTGGCTGTGAGCATCACTGGGGCCGCGAGAGCAGCCGGTGCCAGCCGGGAGCGCTCGGGAGCCGGACACCGGGATCCGAGCCCGCCCGGGCCCCGCTGAGCCCCAGCCCGCCCCCAGCCCCCCGGCTGCTCCAACAGCCTGCAGGGCAAAGCCGAGCCCGGGAGGCCGCGGGTACCTGAGAGAGTGGAAGGCTCGTGCCAGGCGGCCCAGGATGCGATCGTCCCCCAGCAGCACCACGCGGGCGGTGTGCAGCCTCTGGAGCGGGGCCGCGGGCTCGGGGGGCATCCCTGCCCTCCTGGGCAGCCTCCCGGGGGGCTTCCCGCCGGGCACAGCGCTGCCGGCCTGCAGGAAGGGCACGCTGTCCAGCGGGGACGGCTTTTTCTTGATGCCGCCCTTCCTGTGCAGCCGGGAGCGCTCGGCGTCGCTCGGCTCCTCCGGCGCCGCCAGGTCCCGCTCGATGCCGCTGTCCGTGGACAGCACGGAGAAGCGGCTCTGGCCGCAGCAGCCGCAGCCCGGCAGCTCCTCCGGCATCTCCAAGGGCTCCAGCTCCTGCCCCAGGCACTCGGGCTCGCAGCTCTGCGACAGCGGGCGCACGAACAGCACCAGCTCCTTCCCTGCGGGCACCGAGCGCCTGAGCGGCACAGGCGGGCACAGGCGGGCACAGCTCCTCCTGCCCCGGCTCCCCTCCCCTCGGGGAACCCGCAGAGCTGAGAGCTCCGGGGGCAGCCTGTCCTCAGCCCTGCTGCCCTTTGGCAGAGTCGGTGCCGCTCCAGTCCCAGAACCCCAGGGTGGTTCGGGGGGGACCTCGGGGACGATCTTGTTCCCATGCCCTCCACCAAAGCAGGCTGCCCAGAGCTCCATCCAGCCCGGCCCTGGACACTGCCGGGGTCCAGGGGCACCCACAACAGTCGGGCACCCTGGGCACGTCCTGCTGCAGCCCCAGCTCCTTCCCCTGCACAGCCAGGAGGAGGGCAGGGGCAGTCAGCACCGACCTCCCGAGCCTGGCCCTGGGACAGCGGCGCCCAAACTCCCTGCCCACGGCTCAGGGCCAAGTGACCCCTTGGGGACAGGAGCCCCAGGCTCAGAGCCCACCCAGCACCCCCAGCCCCGGGGCACTCACAGAGCTGCTCATCCTCTGTCCACAGGTGGAAGCTGGTGTTGGGGCTGGGCAGAGGGGTCCCCTGCAGCTCTTCCTGGGGAGCATTCCCTGGGAAAACAGGGATGCTTGGAGCATTTCCCCACACGGGAGGACGAGCCCCAGTGCTGAGCGCTGGCTGGGGCAGCCCTGGGGCTCTCCCAGCCCAGAGCTCCTGGGCAGACGTGAGGCTGTGGGGGCCCTGCTCTCACACACCCAGCCATCACCGGGAGTCCACACCGCTGCTGGGAGGGAGAAACGAATGGGGCAGGATGACAGCAGGGACACCGCGGGGACCGAGGGCTGCCTGTGCCCCTGGCAGTGTCTGCCTGGCTCACCTGCGGGCACGGAGCCCAGGAGCCCGCGGTAGATGCTCTCCAGCCGCGCCGTGTGCTGGCCCCGGTCCCAGCCCCCCTCGCTGCCCGCGCCCTCCACGGCCGCCACCACCTGCTGGAACCAGTGCTCCACGTCCCCCGGGGACAAGGCCTGTCGGGACAGGGGCCGTCAGCACCGGGAAACGGGGACGGTCCACGCCGGGGCAGCGGGAGGGGCAGAGCCCTGCAGAAATTGCTTCCTGGGGGACACGAACGCCCTCCTGTCCCCAGCAGAGATGCTGCCTGGGCTGGCTGCTTACAGCTCCTTCTGTGGCAGCTCTGCAGCTGAGGGGCACCCTGTCCCTGGGGCATCCCCAGCGGTGCTGGCCCTTGGGGTGGCTCTCGGGACACGGGGACAGCAGGCACACGAAGGTGGCCTTGGAGTGGAAATGGCCGAGTGCCCCTGCAGGGTGTCTGAGGCAGACACTGGTGTCACTGCGGCCCCACAGCTCCTTCCAGGAGGGCTTGGAGAAAACTGACTGAAACCTTTCCCCTGGGAGGTTCCTGCAGTGCCCAGGGGCTCCCAGAGGAGCTGGCAGAGGCTCTGTCTCAGCTTTGCTGGGCAGAACCAACACTCAGACTGAAGGCTCCACCTCCCTCTGCTGCAGCCTCTGCTTTCCATTCCAAGGGGGTCTGAGCTCAGCCTGGGGGCTGCAGAGCAGCGCTGGGGAGCTGGGGGGTTTCTCCCCTTGCCTTTTCAATGTCCAGCCAGGGCAGACCGGGGGGAGCACGGGAGGAGCTGCTGCAGTACCTGGAGTCGCGCCCGGAGGCCGGGGGTGTCGCAGGTGTCGCCCAGGGCCGCCTGCAGGGCGTGGGTGACCACGCAGCTCATGCAGCCCCGGGGGCTCTGGGACTCCTGGGCCGCCGCGGTGTCGGTGGCCAGCGCCTTGCAGATGGCTTCGGGCAGCAGCTCGGGGTCAGCAAAGATGAAAATCCTGGGGGCAGAGGGAGGGGAAAGGCGGGGGTGCACACTCACATCAGCGAGCCCAGGGCTGGCAGGAGCGGCTCCCCTCTCACTTTTTCCCTGTTGCTGTTGATATTCCCCTTCTCCACCCTGTGTCCCCCCCCGAGGGCAGCTCCCTGCCTCCCAGAATATTCTGGGCACAGCAGAATGTGCCCTCCCCACGCAATCCCAGTGAGGTGCCCCCCGGGGGTGTCCCCCACGGCCTCGAGGGTCAGGCCCAGGCTGTCTGCTGCAGCCAAGGGTGCTGGGACAGGACAGGCTTCCCTGGGAGAGCGGGGGGCGAAAGCACGGCCCCCCGAGGGCAGCGCTCACCTCTCCTGGTAGGGGAAGGGGGCGGTGCGCAGGCTCTGCTCGGAGATGACCATCCTCTGGTACAGGGTCCCTGCGGGGGCACAGACACCGGCTGGAGCTGCAGCAGCGCAGCCCTCGGGGCTGCTCCAGCCCGGCAGGCTCGGGAGGCTCTGCCAAGCCGGGGAACACCCGCTGAGCTCAGCTTAAACAGCCCAGAACTGGGCCAGAGCTAAAAACAGCCAAGGACAAAGATAGCCAGGCTCCAGAAAAAGAAACCCCCGTCTATTCCGGGATGATTTCCTGTGTTTCCCTTCCTTTGTTTAGGGCACTATGAGCTTGGGAGCGGAGGTGGAGGCGGGAGGAAGAGCTCTGTCCCCAGGGCCACACGGGGACGGTGCTTGGGGACATCTGAGCAGCACCAGGGTCTCTGCATCAGGAGAGGCACTGCCCTGCCCCTGCCCCGGCTGAGGGTCCATCCCGGCCCAGGGACAATCCCCCTGTGGCTCGTGTGCTGCTGAGGGGAGCCCTGCTGGAGATGCCCTCTCTGAGCCATTCCTGCCCCGGAGCTCAGGGGACAGAAGGTGCCCCTTGGAGCTGCATCCCGAGCACTGGGGAGGAGTGCTGGGGCTGGGTTGGGGCTCCCAGAATGGCACCAAAACTCCCCAGCAGCTTTCTCCTGCTTCCCCTCCTCCCCACAGGGTGTCTGCACCTTGCTCTGCTCTAAAGGATTCTTTGGAGGGATTCTTCTTTCCTATTAAAGAAAACTTGAACTGGAAGAACTTCAGTGAGAACAGAGAAAAAGAGCACAGAGAAAAATAACCCAGGTGTCCCTGGGCTTGCTTCCTGCACGGGGCTGTTCCCTGCAGCCCCACTGACAGCTCAGTACCCCGGGCAGTTTTAGGGCTGCTTTCCCCTTACCTGGGGCTGTCCTCTCCACCTGCAGCCTGCTGGCATAGTCCAGCCCGATGGTGCAGAAGGGCTTGGGCAGGGTCAGCAGCCTCTTGCAGAAGTCATAAACCCTGGCACAGAGCTCGTCAGGGACGCAGGGAGCCTGCAGGGGGACAGGGAGGTGACAGGCAGTGACCCTTCAATCTGCCCCAGTGCAGCCCCGGGCTGGGAGGGCACCAAACTCACTGCAGGGAATTCACTACAGATTGAAATGCAAAACATGGGGCAGAACCAGGCCTGCAGTGCTTTGGGAGCCCCCAGCAATACCCACTGCAGCTGGGGCACACATTTGTTTAGCCAGGTTGTGGCTTCCTGCACGCACTGGCAAGGGCTCAGGTGGCAGGAGCTGGCACTCTGTGTGCCACAGGGACACGGGACATGGGACATGCCACAGGGACACGGGACATGCCCAGCTGAGCTGCCCAGGGCTGTCCCAGGGCTCTGCTGGCTCTGAGTGGCTGCTCCAGGTTCCGAGTGGCTTCAGGTGGCCTCTCCGGTGGCCCTGATTCCCTGGACGCTGCCCCAGGCTGGTGTGCCAGGGTGCAGGCTCCCTTTCCCGGGCCCAGCTCACCTGGATCAAGGTGTACATCAGCGTGTGCAGCAGGGGGATGATGTAGTGCCGGAGGTCCCCTCGCTCTGCCTGCGGGGCAGAGGCAGGGAGGGCACAGTCAGCTCCTGGCAGGACACTGCGTTGGGCAGGAGCAGCCCCAGAGCCCCCAGCGTGGGCCAGGTTCTGTGGGGCGGCACTGTCCCCTCCCGGGGGTGGCACTGTCCCCTCCCGGGGGTGGCAGTCCCTCCCTGGGGTGGCACTCACCCTCTCCAGCTCCTTCACCAGGATCCTGACCAGGACACAGCTGGTTCTGGGGTTCTGGTCGATTCTCTTGTGCAGGGTCCAGCGCAGCATTCCTGAGGAGGGACACCAGGGGAGTCAGGGGGACAGGGGCATCAGGGAGCTGGGCCCTGCAGTGCAGAGACCCCTGGGACACGCTGGGACACCCCTGAGCCACCTCCTGCTCCCAGCTGTGCCCCTGTGCCCCTGCCCTGGCCCTGGGCACAGCACGGCTGGGCTGGGTTTGGTTCTGGAATCCCTTGGCAGTGGCTCCTACAGATCCTGGGGGAAAGGAGGATGTGGAGTTTGGTTCCTTGCCCTGTTTGTGCCCAGCTGCTTTCCCCACCCGTCCCACGGGATCTGGGGTGCTGCTGGTGCCAGCGCTGGCCCCGGGCTCCCCCTCAGAGCAGGGACAGAACCCCTGAGCCCTGAGGTGCCACGGCTCATCCCAGCAACCCCAACTTTAATCAGGGTGACACGGGCTGTGCAGGGGTTGGTGTCACACAGGGTGACACAGGGTGACAGACGCTGCTGGGGCTGTGCAGGGGGTGTCACCCAGAGTGACACGGGGTGACAGACACTGCTGGGGCACGGATGCTGCTGATGCAGGGTTTGGCCCCTCCCGGAGGGGGTTGGCAAGGGCGGGTGAGCGGAGCCCTCCTGTCCCCTCTGGGGCTGGGGCAGGCGGTGCCCGCGGGCCCGGGCGGTGGCCGTCCCTCACCTCGGTCGCTCTGGCAGGAGGGGTGGTGCCCGTCCAGCTCCCGCAGCAGCGCCCGCACCCGCCGCAGGACGTCCGACTCCAGCTCTGCAAGGGACAGCGGCACCTGAGCCGGGCCAGCAGCCGGGGACAGCCCGGACAGAGCCCTCCCATGGCATCAGAGCCCCCAGAGCCCCCCAGAACCCTCAGAGCCCTCCCCACGGCACCTGAGCAGGGCCAGCACCCCGAGGGGACAGCCCGGACAGAGCCCTCCCATGGCCCCAAGACTCCTCAGAGCCCCCAGAGCCCTCATGACCACAGTGGAAACCACAGAGCCACAGAGTGTCACAGAGTGTCACAGAGTGCCACAGAGTGCCACAGTGTCCCACAGAACCCCAAAAGTGCCCCCAGCCCGGGAGGCTCTGCCTGCCTGGAGCTGGTGGCTCCAGCCTGTCTCACGCCTTGCCTTCCAGAGCTTCTCCTGGCAGCACGCTCGTCTTTACAGATTTGCAGAGGGCAAAAAGCTGAACTTTCTCTTCGTTGTCTCACCTTAGAGAGGATGTAATTGCCTCGTATGTGTGGTTTAATGAAATAACTGATTTTTTCCTTGCTTTTTGTGAGCAAGCACAGGTCCAGCCTACAGCTTCCCAGCTGGGCTGGCTGTTGCTAAACTTAATACCCCAAACGCTTGAAAGATCCCTCAGCCATCTCTCCAAGCAAAGAAATCTAAACATTTGGCCAAAATCTCACTTCTGCCTCAGAGACAAGTGCGAATATTCAGAAATGCCCAGCTGGGTCAGGCACTGCTGGGAATGGCTCTGGAGCTGTGCTAGGGAAGAGCCCAGGCTCAGAGCCCCCAATTCTGCCCTGCTGAGGGATCTGGGGGTGCACGGGAGCCCCATCTCTGCCACAAGGCAAAAACATCCAGAGGAGACCGGGCTTGCCTCGTTTGGAAGTGCCATTGCAGAAATGTCTCGGCAGCTTCTCCTGCCTCACCCTGGGTTTCCTCTGAGGGGTTTGGGAACTCCCCGATGTCCCTCTCCTGTTTATTGGTTTGGCACACGGGAATTCTGCCATAAAGGGCTCTTTGGAATGTCCTGCTCCTTTCCTGTGTGTTTGTGACCGCCAGGGGAGGCTTTTCCTGAGCACTGCTATCAGTCCTGGCCTCTGCTCCTCATCAAAGCAGCCCCAGCACCGAGGGTCCCTCGCGGGGGGCAGAGCTGAGGTTGGACCCAGCACAAACAAGAGGCACTTTGATCTAAAAGCAGCAAAAAATAAACCCAGCAACAAAGAGCAGTGGCTTGGAAATGGAATAAAACCTTTCAGCATTGACATCCTGACCCTGGGAGATCAACAGCACCTCTGGAACAGCGTGAAAATGAAACATGGGGGGAAATGGACCGAAATACACCCAACAGTAATAATAATAACAATAAAATATACTACTATAAAATAAAGCTAAAAACAATAATAAAATATGCTATTATGAAATAAAAATAAAAACAATAATAAAATGTACTACTATGAAATAAAAAATAATAAATAATAATAAAATATACTACTATAAAATAAAGCTAAAAACAATAAAAAATATACTATTATGAAATAAAAATAGAAACAATAATAAAATATACTACTATGAAATAAAAAATAATAAATAATAATAAAATATACTACTATAAAATAAAAATAAAAAATAATAACAATAAATGCTACTTATAAAATAAAGATAAAAGCAATAATAAAATATACTACTAGGAAATAAAAATAATAATAAAATATACTACTATGAAATAAAAATAATAATAAAATTTACTACTATAAAATTTAAAAATTACTATAAAATAAAAAAAATTAAAAATAAAATATACTATATAAAATGAATGTAATAATAAAATTTACTACTATAAAATTTAAAAATTACTATAAAATAAAAAAATCATTTAAAAAATAAAATATACTATATAAAATGAATTACTTTAAAACTCAAATGCTTTGTCAGCTGTGAGTGCCCCACACTCAGCAAAGCTTTTGGCTGCCCCTGCACTGCTCTGTGCCCCAGCAGCACCTGCCAACACCTTGGGAAGGGAGAAAGGGGGTGTAGGGCTGGGTGAGGGGTGATTCACGGCTCCCCTCGCGGCCCGGGCTCAGCATCACCCACCTGAGCTCTCCATGGCCGGGCCGGGCTGCAGCTCGCGGGGCACCAGCACGGGGCTGCTCAGGGCGCTGGGGCATGGCCTGGCAGCCGGGACGGGGCCTGCAGAGAACGGGAACAGCTGGGCTGGGAGCGGCCTCCGGACCGACCGGGGCAGCACAGAGGCACCGCAACCCCCTGGGACCCCCTGGGACCCCCTGGGACCCCCTGAGACCCCCTGGGACCCCGTGGGGCAGAGACCGAACAGCTGGGCTGGGAGCGGCCTCCGGACCCACCCGGGGCAGCACAGAGGCACCGCAACCCCCTGGGGCCCCCTGGGACCCCCTGCGACCCCCTGGGACCCCCTGGGACCCCGTGGGGCAGAGCCCAGGGGGAGCACAGGCGGTGTTTGGGGCAGAAACCCCAGCCCGGAGCCGCTGGCACTGCCAGTCCCGGAGCTGGCACTGCTGCTGGACAGGCACGGCGCTCCCCGGAGCTCGGGAGCACCCCGGCCAGCCCCGGGCTCCCGCGGCCGCTGCCGGAGGCGCAGCAGCCGGTGCGGCTGAAGGTGTCGGTGGCTCCCCACATCCGCATCCTCCTGGCACCGCGGGGGCGGGCGCTGCCGGCCCGCCACAGCTGCCAAATTTAGCAGAGAGCGACCTGAGCCCGGCCTGCCCGAGAAGCTCTGCTGCTGGTTCCCTGGTGCCCCAAAGGGCTCCTGCTCCTCCCTGGCAGCAAGGAGCAGCTCAGGCTGAGCCCCGGGAAAACCCAACATAAAGAGACAAAGCAGGTCCCCGGCAGGCTCAGAACCAGTCACGCTGTCCAGGGAGGACAGGCAGGTGTGTGGGAGAGGAGGACGAAAGGACACGCACAGGAGCAGGCTCTGAGGAGCAGCGGGGTCAGGCAGGGTCCTGCCAGGCTCCAGCCACTGCTTCTCCCTCGGCCAGGACCAGCAGGGGAGCACAAAGGAGCAGAAATTCCCCTTTTCATGGGGATGTTTCGAGCAGCACAGGAACCCAAAGGAGCAGAAATTCCCCCTTTTCCCTGGGGATGTTTCTGAGCAGCACGGGAACCCAAAGGAGCAGGAATTGCCCCGGTTCCCTGGGATGTTCTCTGCCTGCTCTGCTGCCCAGGTGAGGGCACAGCCCCTCAGCCCTGCTGTGCCCACCCCAGAGCCAGCAGGGCAGGCAGGGATGATGCCAGCCCTCAGGAAGGGTTCTGGGCACAGAGCCCCCCTCCAGCCAGCCTCTCTGTCTGCCACAGCTCCTCAGAGATTCCCTGGCCCGAGGAGCAGGAGCTGTCCCCATTTCTGGGGATGGACCCTGACTGCTCCCAGCCCCTGCTGGACTCAGCCCCTTTCCCTGGGAGCCCCTCCCTGCTCCCCAAAGGTTGGGAAGGTTCCCTGATCCCCACCAGGAGGGTTCTGTGCTCTCTGCCCCCCTGGATCTCCTGCCTCCCCTGCAGCAGACACGAGGCACAGCTCATCCCAAAACCGGGTGTTTTGCTGTCTGCCAGCTCAGCAAGACCAGAGCCTTCTCTGCATTCATCCCACTTCTTTGCAGAGCTGCAAATCTCTGCTTCCTCTCTGCAATTCTTAAAATACCCATGGCATCAGCTGGATTTCATTCCTTTTGCAGGGAAAAAAAATGAAAAAGGAAGGGCAAGAAGGGAAGTTGCAATTCTCCCTTCGGTTTCAATAATTCTGAGAGTCATAGGACAAAAACCCCAAATGACCCCAAAGCTGCCTTCCCCAAGAGTTTGGGGCAGTTTTGGGGAACACCTGGCTCTATTCTTAAAGTACAGGACTTGGCAGTGAAAGTGCAGCTCACCCTGACCCTGGCAGAAAACTTAAAGGGAACTGCAGGGTTAAAGGGAACCCTCCTGTTCCAAACTGCAGGTGCTGGACACAGCCAGAGCAGGACTGAGCACCCCACAAACCCCCCTTGGCCCTCCTCTGCAGGGCAGCAGCCGGGGGGGCACGGTCAGAGCGGTTTGTACCAGTGCTCTACCTCAGCCCAGCTAATCCCAGGTGAAGTCCCATTTTGGGACCCTCCAGCCTCTGCCTGTCCATCCTGTCCATCCTCTCCATCCTTTCCTTGCTCATCCCACTGAGGCTCCTTCCTCCTAAGCAGGGATTCCATTTACTGGGGCCCAGGTGTGCACAAGGAAATTGTCACCTCCCTCCAGGGCTGTCCCTTCCCTAATCCTTACAGGCAGGGGGGAACACTGGGAACACGCACCCTGAATGCTGGGGACACCACCCTGAGTGTTGGGGACACCACCCCAGTGCTGGGGACACCCCCCTGAGTGTTGGGGACACCAGCCCCAGCCCCCTCTCCCTCCTCTGAGGGCTGATCACGAGCACCAAAGACACTGTCACCAGGTGGGTTCCAGCAGACCAAGCATCACCCTGGTGGCCTTTGGGTGTGTCTGGAGGGTGCTGGGCAGCAGCAGGGACAGGCGGCAGGTCCCTGTCCCCACGGGGTCACACGGAGCCCAGGCTGGGCTGCTCCTTGCTCCCCACGGAGGAGGATCCCCGTTCACTCACCCTTGGCAGGAGAAGGGCCCATCCCTGCAGGAAGCACAGCCCGTCCCCACAAAGGGCATCTCCCTCCTGGCCCCATGGCTGGAGCTCAGCCCTCGGGGTGAGACTGAAAATCCCACTGAGGGCTGGGGACGTGTCCCTGCAGGGGAGGCACTGCAGCCCACCGTGGTGACCCAGGCTGGCCCTGGAAATGGGGGGCTGGCTCCCCAGAGGCCTCCTGCTCTCACAGGCTCTCAGCACTCGGAAATCACTGAACCCCAACCACCCCCGAGCAGGTGAAACACGAGAGGCACAGAAATAGCTGCAGCGAGGCACAAATAGCTGAAGCCACGAGAGAAAACCCAACCCAAACCCTCGGGTGCTAGGAGCTGGGCTGGCAGCAACGAGGCTCCCCTGGGAGGCTCCAGCACGTCCAGGATCCTCTGTCTGCTCCCGGCACACCCTGCCTGCACCCCGAATGCCATACCTGGGGCTGGGCTGGCCTGGGCCATGTCCCTGTCCCCGTCCCTGCCTGCCCAGGGCCGCCGGAGCCCGGCGGGACGCGGAGCACATCCCCTCGCTCTCCCGGTTATATTTATCCGCTGCAAAGCCACCTCCCCGCGCCTCCTGCAGCCCGTGTTGAGTTACAAACTCACCGCCCGGGCACGGCTGAGCTTTTTCCCGGCACGACTGAGCTTTTCCCGGCACGGCCGAGCTTTACCCCGGCACGGCGGAGATTTTTCCCGGCTGGTTTGTCAGCTCCAGCGCAGACACGGAGAAAGCCGCGCCTCGCAGGGGCACAGCGAGCGGCCGTGCCCCCTCGCAGCCCCCCTGAGCCCTCCCCACCGCTCCCACCCCCAGCCAGGGGCACCGCACGGGTACCGTGAGCGGGGTCCAGCGGCGGAGCGTCCTGCGGGAGCGGCGGGCAGCGCTCAGCCCGCGTGGGGAGGGACCCGCATGGGCTCGGTGTCGTCACGGCACCGAGAATGGCCTGGGACAGCCCCGTGCCGCCCCCGTGCCGCCTCCCCCGCCGTTCCTGCGGGCGAGGCTGGCTCCGAGAGCGGCGCAGCGGAGCCTGGCACGGCCCCGGCCCCCGCCCGGGCTTCCTCCGGGAGCGGCACGGCTGGAGCGCGGCGCTGGGCTGGGAGGGACGGGGGGGACGGGGCGGGAGGGGGACGTGGCAGCTGAAGGGCTGGGGATCTGACATTGCATCCTCTGGGCTGCCCCAAACTGCAGCCGGCAGTGCCAACGCTGAGAAACGGCTCCAGCAGCATCCCTGACCCCTTCATCCCCCACACCCCTTCATCCCCCACACCCCTTCATTCCCTACACCCCTTAACCCCTCAGCCCCGGCGCTGCAGGGCACCCCAGCAGAGGCAGGGGCTGTGTCTGTTTGTCCCCTCCTCTCCGAGCCTGTCCGTGCAGCGTGCTCTGTCTGGCCCGACCCCGAGCTCCAGCCCGGCTGCACAGCCAGGCAGGGGAGCAGGACAAAGGCAGCTCTCCCTCCTGCAGCCCTCCTGGCTGTGCAGGCAGCAGCTCCCGGCTCCCCTGAGGACCCTGGGCAAGGGCAAACAGGAGGGCAGGGCTGCTCCCCTCCCTTCCATCTGCTGCTCCGAGGGCTCTCTGTTCAAACAAAAACCAGGCAAAACTTCAGCTATAAGACTCAAAGCCCACAGAAAGATGCCCTGCCGCCTTCCTGCCCCTTTGGGCAGGCTGCTGGAGTGGGCAGACCTGCAGGAGAGCTGGCAGTGCCCAGCCTGAGCCCCTCCTGCTCTCATTGCCAGATTTAACTGCAGCCCTGGCAGGGCTCTGAGATGAAAGCAGATGCTCTCCCTCGTGCTCTCACTGCCAAGGAAGGGAATCACGAGCCCAGACTCGGCTTTCCAGCATCTCCTTGGGGCTCCGTGTGCCTGCTGGCTGCTCGGGGAAGGCACAGCCCTGCCAGGGGGTCCTGCCCATGGAGGGGAAGGCACAGACAGCTCCTGGGGCCAGCTCAGGAATGAAACACCTTCACTGGCCCTGCAGTGAGTGCTCATCAGCCACGGCTCTGCTCGAGCCCCGGGCCTCTGCTGGAGCTGTGGAAGTCCAGCAGCTTCCTGGACACCAGCGACTGTTTGGAGACTTCCTTGCCAACGTCACATTTCATTCTTCCTAAGGAAAGGAAAGGGTTTTCCGGAAACAGAAGCTTTTTAGATTTAGCATCTCTTTCCATCCCTGGAGTCGACTTTGCAAAAACAACCACAGGGAAAAAATAGGTGTGATTTGAAATCCACTGCCAGAGTGTGCTCACAAACAGCCCAGGCAGGCACTGTCCACCTGAGGGGGAAGGAGAGCAGGGAGAGCTCAGACTCCCAAATGTGGCCCAGCCGGGAGGAGCCTGGCTGCTTTCCCGGGCTGGGAGGGGCTGTGGGCTGGCACAGCTGCTCCCTGCCTCCCTCCAGGGCCATTCCCTGGGCAGGGCTGTCACCAGCGCGGTCACTGGGACAGCCCTGCTGTCACACACATCTCTGTGCAGTGTCCCGGTGCGGGGGCACAGCACTGTCCTCCCCATTCCCAGCCTCTGCTGGCACTGCCCTCAGGTGGCCACAGCGGAGGTGACCCGGGGAGGGCACAGAGGAACAGCCCGGGGTGACAGGAGGTGACCAGAGTGACCACAGCACGCTGTGCGTGGCACCCAGCCCCGTGTGCCCGGCTGGGGCAGGGAGGGCACAGAGGAGCCCTCAGCAAGGAAGGGATGAGGGTTTAGGGTGGCACCAGGACAACGAGGTCAAAAAGGGGATTTAATTACAGGGCACAGGCACCAACAGCCCCCTCTGCTTTCAGTGGGGTCCCCAAAACTCCAGTCTGGCCTGAAGAACAGCAGCACCCTGCCCCTCAGCCACACCTGGCACAGCCCCTGCAGCAGCTCCCTGCCCCTCGCTCAGCAGCATCCCGAGGAGGTAAATGGTCAGGGGAGCTGGCTCCGAGCAGCCCGGGGATGCCGAGGAGAGCACTCAGGGCAGGACCCTCAGCCCTGCCTGCTCAGAGCTGGCTCATGTGTGTTTGTTCGCGCAGGGAGGGCACAGAGGAGCCCTCAGCAAGGAAGGGATGAGGGTTTAGGGTGGCACCAGGACAACGAGGTCAAAAAGGGGATTTAATTACAGGGCACAGGCACCAACAGCCCCCTCTGCTTTCAGTGGGGTCCCCAAAACTCCAGTCTGGCCTGAAGAACAGCAGCACCCTGCCCCTCAGCCACACCTGGCACAGCCCCTGCAGCAGCTCCCTGCCCCTCGCTCAGCAGCATCCCGAGGAGGTAAATGGTCAGGGGAGCTGGCTCCGAGCAGCCCGGGGATGCCGAGGAGAGCACTCAGGGCAGGACCCTCAGCCCTGCCTGCTCAGAGCTGGCTCACTTGTGTTTGTTGGCAGCTCGGCCCCGAGCACGCAGATTTTTGCTTCCTTTGTGGCCGGGCCGCGCTCTCTGCTCCTTATCGCCGCTGCCATCGCTCTTTGTCACCGCTGCTCGGGGCCCGGGGGACAGCCCAGGCACCCGGCCAGGGCAGCTGGGCAGCCACAGGACTCACGCACAGCCGGTGCCAGCGTGTGCATCACCCCCGGCCGTGCCAACGCCGCCAGCACAGCCCCGGGCACGGGCAGCGGGGCCGGGGAGCCCGGGGGTGGCACTGGGCAGGTGACTGTCCCTGGCAGCTGTTGTTCGGCACACAACAAAGCTGACAGCACGGGCTGGGGCCGCAGCACCCCCGGGATGCGGTGGAGCTCGCTCACTCACCCGGCCGGGCCGGGCCGGGCCGTGCGGGGCTGTCCCGGGGCCGGAGCAGCGACACCAAACCAAACCAAACCAAACCAAACCAAACCAAACCAAACCAAAGCAAGCCAAACCCGGCCGGTGTCCGCTCCGGGCCACGGGCAGCAGACCCCGCGCTCCTGCCCGGACAGGCTCCAGGCCAGCCCTGCCCGCAGGATGCCCGCGGCTGGCAGGGAGCTGGCACTCCCGTTCCCTCAGCAGCGCCTTCCTCACCTCCCGCACCCCGCGGCTCCCTCCCCCCGTCCTTCCCGAGAAAAGGAATGGCTCTGCCCCCGGCCGTGCCCTCCAGGCGCTGTCAGCCCTGGCATCCAGCGCTCGGTGCCAGTGCCCAGGCAGAGCCCTGGGCAGTGCCAGAGCAGCCCCGAGGGCAGAGGCCGAGCCACGGCATTGCCCACGCCAGGAGCCGGGGCTCCGGCCCGCCGGGGCTCTTACCTTCCTCATGCCGGGCTCGGGGGGCCCAGGGAGTCGCAGCCCCCCCCGAGGGCGCGGCCAGGGCAGCAGGGACCCGCAGGGGACATCGGGCAGGGGGGCGGCGGAGCCCCGGCGGCTCCGGGCTCGGGCAGCGGAGGGCTCGAGGGGAAGCGCCGAGTTATTTCGGGACAGCTTCCTCTCTCGCGGGGGAGTGCCGCGGGGGCAGAGCTGTCCCCGTCTCGGTCCCCCGCGCTCCCCGGACGGGCTGCAGCAGGGGAGGAGGCTCGGCCCTGCCCTGGGTGCGGTCCCTCCAAGCAGGTCGGGCTGCCCGGGGATGAGTGTGTGAGCCTGGCACCGCCCCTGGCAGCGGCCCCGGGCCTGGCACGGCCCCTGCTGCGCTGCCAGCCGCCCAGACAGGGACAGTCCCGGCGCTGCTGCCGCCCAGGGGGGCAGGGAGCCTGGATGCTCGCACCTCCCAACAAACAGCGTCGCCCCGGGACACCCGGAGTCCCTCCAAGGACACTTTTCCAGTCCCGTTCCAGGCGCGGTGTTTGTGCCCCCGCAGCGCCTCCCGCCCGCAGCATCTCCACATCTGCTTTTGCTCAGGGCTCCTGCCCGCTGCCAGCTCGGGACGCAGCCCGGGCAGGAGGTTCCCTCTGGGGTGCGATCCCGGGGCAGCCTGACTGCCCTGGCCGAGCCTGGGGCGGCTCTGCCCGTGCCCAGCACGGTGCCACTGTCACCGCAATGTGACTCGGTGGCCGGAGGGCAGGGCCGAGACCCCGGGCCCAGGTGAGGCTGCTCGGGGCTGGCGGCTCTGGCGGTGCCCGGGCTGTGTTTGCAGGCTGGCACAGTGCCGGGCTGGCACAGTCCCGGGCTGGCACACGGCAGGGCTGCGGGGACACGGCTGACCCCGCCCGAATAAGGAGACGAGCGCTGCTCCCCGTGGGACGTGGGGCCGGGCGGGATGAGCCCCCATCGGGTACCCAGAGCGGGGTCGGAGGTGCCGGGCTTTGCTGGAGGAGTGGGTTGGGGAAGAAAATCCTTCCGGAGGGAGCTTGGGGGCTGCAGCTGGCGCTGCACCACTTCCCATTCCTTTTGCTCGAGGGAAAGCCTTCGGTACCGCTCCGTACCTGGGCCCCAGGTTTAAAAATAACCTCCTTCCTTCCTGAGCGGACAGAACGGCCGCAGGAGGCAGCTCAGGCTGCCGGCGTCCCTCGCCCTCAGCTCCCTCTCGCTGCTGCCAAGCCCCCATCCCCTTCCCCAGCCCGGCCGGAGCCGCCCCGGGGCAGGAAGGCTCCGGGAGCAGCAGCAGCAGCGGAACCATCCTCGTTCCTCGTTCCCTGCCCTGCGCTCCTCCCGGCGCTCCCTGCACCAGGACCCGGGCATACGCGGGGCGCTCCTTTGTCCCTGCCAGGGTCACAGTCAGCGCCTTCAAGAGCCCAGGTGAGGGTTTGAGCTCAGTAGAGCCCTGTCCCGAGCCTGTCCTCCTGTCCTGCTGCCGCCTCTGTGTGTCCCTCCTCAGCAGGAGCTTCCCAGCGTGCAGGAGCTGTGGCACGGGCAGGAGCTGCCACGCTCTCGTGTTTGCCATGCAAATTCCAGCGGGAAGAGGCCCTGGCAGGGCTGGGGCTGGCCCCACACGTTGCATGGGATGAGAGGAGGGGCCCGGGCTCTGGCTTTGCTGCACTGCCCTCTTGCCCCAGAGGATTTGCACTCCTCCCCTCCCCGCTGGGCACTGCAGGCCCCAAGCCTTCACCACCCCCTGTCTGGCCCCAGAACTGGGCTCCATTCCCTGCACAGGGAAAGGGGAGGGCTCTGCCCACAGCACACACCCCGCACCTGCTCATTGCCACCAAGCTCAGGATCCAAAGCCCAAAATCCATTGCACTGAAGGGTCCTGCTGGGACCCTCCAGCCTCACCCTACCCCTTCCCCTCCTCTTCCCACCTCTGTCACAGCACCATTAACTCTCCTCCTGCTGAGGGGCCTCAGCCTTGTGGCAGCCCATGGAAGGGGCACAAAGAGGTTGTTCCCCACATTTTCTGATGTCATGAAACACCAAAACACAGCAGACAGGAAGGCTCAGAGCAGCACAGGGAACTGCCAAATTCCCCCAGATAACATCAGCTCCTGGCCACAGGGAGAGGAAGAGCCAGGTATGACCCTGCTCACACAAAGCCTTCAGTCAGAAGAGTGGGGGGAAAAAGGGAAGAACCAAACTGAAGCAGAGAAAGAACCTCTTGTGTGGCAGGCCAGGCACAAAGCAACCCTTTGTCCCTGCAAACACTGTGCTCTGGGATTTATAGGTATTTTGGAGCCCTACCTGGTCATGGGTGGGGTGCAGGAGGTTTTGAAGCAGTTGGAATCTTCCTCACATGGAAAAACTCTGTCTCCTGAAGTGATCTCCTGAGGGCTGGAGCCCCTCTGCTCTGGAGCCAGGCTGGCAGAGCTGGGGGTGCTACCCTGGAGAGGAGAAGTTCCAGGAGAGCTCGGAGCCCCTGCCAGGGCCTGGGGGGCTCCAGGAGAGCTGGAGAGGGACTGGGGACAAGGGATGGGGGACAGGACACAGGGAATGGCTCCCACTGCCAGAGGGCAGGGATGGGTGGGAGATTGGGAATGAGGAATTCTTCCTGGCAGGGTGGGCAGGCCCTGGCACAGGTGCCCAGAGCAGCTGGGGCAGTGCCAGGGGGCAGTGCTAGTGGAGCAGCGGGCAGGGCCGGGGCTGTTTCTCCTCCTCCTCCTCCTCTGACGCTGGGTTCCTATTTCGGGCACTGCCAGGGCAGCCCGGGCCCGCTCCCTGCCTTGCTGTTCAGGAGCCCTTGGCTTTCCCCGCTCTCCATCCTCCCGAGGCTGCTTTGGCCGCGGAGCTGAGGGGCACCGGGGGCAGCACAGGGCTTTGGCCAAGGTCAGGAGCTGCCCGAGCGCCACTGCCACCTGCAGGGAAAGCTGCCCTGGCAGGCACCCCAGCCCAGTCCAGCCCAGCCCAGCCCGGCACAGCCCGGCACAGCCCAGCCCAGCCCGGCACAGCCCAGCCCCAGCTCCAACCCCAGCCCAGCCCAGCTCCCGTGATTTCCACACTTTGGAAGGGAACAGGTCTCAAACCAAACACGTCTGATGTTGTGGCTCTATTTCCTACCCTGGCCTCAGCCCAGTTCTATTTCTAGTCCAGCTCCTGCAAATATAGAAGATGAGGGGATCTGGGGAGAGGGAAAGCCAGGCTGACCCTGGTGCCATTGAAGTTGCCTTTTCCATTTCTGTAAACTGAGTCATCTCCAATACGCCCTGTTTGTTTTTTTCCTTGAATAAATAATCATACTAAGGGGATAAAAAGATGGCAATAATAAACCATAGAGCATTCAAGTCTGGGCAGCACCTCAGGATGTCCTGTGAGGGTGGAAAACACCATTTCACTGATAAAGACTGCACAGGTTCTACCTGCAGGTTGATCCCTGGTCACCCACCTGTGAGCAGGACACTCTGGAGCACCTGAAGGGAAAATCCTGGTGCTGTGCTGGGTGCTGGAATTGTCTTTGCCAATGACTCTGAGCCTTTTCCTGCTCCCAGGCCAGCACCTCTGGGGACACTTGGAGCCTCCTCCCCTGCCTCCCACCCACCCAGCAATTCCTCGACCCAAACACTGCTCCTGTACTGGAAATAAATCAACATTTAATATTTTACAATTACTTTAAAAGTCCTCTGCACAGTATTTTACAGATCAGCACAGACTTTACACAGATTTACTGAGGCTACACAAACGTACAAAACCCACCCCAAAGAACCCTGGAATTCTCTCATTTCCAGAAAGCATCAGAGGCCAGAACCTTCACCAGGAGTATGAGTCCCTGGAGTCTGGGCTTGGTTTTCTCTGTGGGATGGGAATTCTCCTCTCCAGGACTGCTGCAGGGCCAGCTGAACCCAGAGGGATTTCTGTCCTGGCACGGATTTGGCCACGGATCCCAGGACCCCAAGAGCAGTGTCTGACAGGACAGGGGCTGGTTTAAAACCCTGAACAGGAGCAACCACCTGCCAAATCCCAGCCCCACTGGGGAGAGCACACCTCAAACCTGCTGGGGAAGGCAAAGTCAGAGAGAAAACCCTTTGGGGCCCCCGTGCTCAGCCCTGGGCCCAGGGCAAGCCGTCCCCAGCAATGGCCCAGTGGGACAGGAGGTGTCCAGCAGGGCAGGGAGCAGAGCCGGGGCACAGGAGGGGTCCCAGCAGGGATGGGGGATCCAGCAGACACAGAGACCCTGAGCCCCAGGAGCTCTGCCCTCGCCCTGGCAGGCTGAGACTCAAGTGACACTGCTGCTGTGCCACCAGGCCTGGGGACAGTGCCAAGAGCTCCCAGGTCCTTTTCCTGCAGGATCAGGGGACCCCCTGGACTGACCCCACTGCAGCTGACCCTGCAGCCCCCAGCAGTGCCAGGGGTCCCTTCCAGACCCATGCAGGGAACACGGAACACTGGGAGGGAGCTCCTTTGAGCCAGCAATGAGCTCGTGTGCTGCTAGCACTGCTACAATCCCCAAAACCCGCCCAGAAACAGCCCGAGGCTTTTCCAGTCTTTGCTCATAGGGTCAGATTACCCATAAATATCCCCAAATATTGCACTTTTCTGTACCTACAGCCTTGCAGAGAGGGGAAGGAGGTTGGAATGTTTGTAAGAGATCTCAAACCCTGCTGTCACTTGCAGGTGTCACTCAGTGGGTTTGGAGCTGGGTCCCTCTCCAGCAAATGTCACAGGAGATGCCCAGGAAGCAGCTGAGGAGCCCCCAGAGCCAGCAGAGCACAAAAATCCCATTCCTGAGCAGGGGCTGGGCCTGGAGCAGGAGCAGCTCAGCCCCCACACTGAGCACAGTGACCCCCCAGTGCAGGAGCTCGTGGACAGCAGGGCTGGGTGTCCTCTTCCTTCTCCTGAGCCTGGACTGGTGTGGGCAGAGCCTGCTCTGGAGGGACGCGGCTCCTCTAGGGCAGTGCCCCACTGAAGGTGGCAATGGGCAAACACAGCAGGGAGTGGAACTCGGAGGGGTCCTGGGCAGCCACGGGGGACCCCCTCGGTGCCAGGGGGTCACAGTCCCTGGGCTTGTAGCACACGGAGACCTCACACCTGCGGGGCAACAGCAGGAAACCACCTCTGAGTGGGGTGGGGGTGAGAACCCTCGGGACAGCGGGAACGGGGCTGAGAACCCAGTGGGAATGGGAATGGGGCTGAGAACCCAGCGGGAATGGGAATGGGGCTGAGAACCCAGTGGGAATGGGGCTGAGAACCCAGCGGGAATGGGAATGGGGCTGAGAACCCAGCGGGAATGGGGCTGAGAACCCAGCGGGAATGGGGCTGAGAACCCAGTGGGAATGGGGCTGAGAACCCAGTGGGAATGGGGCTGAGAACCCAGCGGGAATGGGAATGGGAATGGGGCTGAGAGCCCAGCGGGAATGGGGCTGAGAACCCATCAGGAATGGGAATGGGAACGGGGCTGGGAACCCAGCGGGAATGGGAATGGGGCTGAGCACCCTTGGGGCAGTGGGAATGGGACTGAGAACCCAGCAGGAACAGGGCTGTGGGATCTGAGCAGGAGCATCCATCCAAGCCGAGCTCAGAGCCTGGGGCTAGGATTCATGGGTCAGGATGCTCCATCTCCAGCCCTGGCTGCAGCTCCCACCTGGTCACGCTCTGCAGGATCTTCTGCTCATCCTGGTCCAGGCACACGGCGAAGGAGGACTGGACCCCGATGATCTGCACCTTGTCCACCTTGATCTGGGACACGCTGATCTGCTGAGAGGAAAGGCTGGAGTGAGGGAGCTGCTGCCTCAGTGCTTCCCCAGGGCTGGGCAGGGGGCTGGGCAGGGGGCTGGGGCAGCAGCAAGGGGATGCCCCAGGAGCTGCTCCCTGCAGCCCTGCTCCCCCCCATCTCCCCCAGTGTAAGAGCTCCAGGGCTGCACTTACCTGATTGAAGCTTTTCTTGGACTTGGAGTTCTGCCTCTTGACCACCTCGGTCATGGTTAGGTTCAGACATTCTGTCTTCGAGGCTGCAAGAGAAGGAAGCTGCCATGGCCTGGGGCTCTGCTGGAACCCTGCACTGCTCAGAGCACCCCGAGCTGGAGCTCCAGCAGGATCCCAGGGCTGGGGGAGGCACTGCAGCCCCAGCTCTCCTCCCCTCCCGCTCAATGTCCTCTGCAGCTCCAGCTGCTTTCCAGACACAGCGGGACAGAACATTCAACCACCCGGGCTGCAAACAGGAGAAAATCCATTGCCCATGGCCGTGAGGAAAGTCTGACTCTCCCCCCGTGGCCTCTCCTGAGCCCACCCGGAGACGCCTCCGGTGCCTGGAATGACAGTGACACCCCGTGGTCAAACTGCGGAACGGGAACACCTCCGGGTCCGGGGGTCGGGTCCTCTTGGAAGGACGGAGAGGTTCTCCCCAGAGCGCAGCCCTGAACTGGAGCAGGAACAGCCAACGCAGCACTCGGGGGGGTGAGAAACCCATTCCTGGTGCTTTTCTCCCAGGACTGGCTGCACGGGTGGGGAGGGGCAGGAGGGACAGGGGGGAGCTCCAGGGAGCATGAGGGATGTCTCCTGTTTGGTACAACACCGTTCCCCTGGTTATCCTGCTGACAAACACCTGCCAGGCACCAGGCACGCGAGGAAAAAGGACCTAAACCCCCTCAGCTGGCTCAGGACTGGACGTGTCTGGTGGCCACACCAGCAGCTCTTAAACAAGAGCCAACCAAAACCACCACGGACCCAGAGCCTCGGAGCCTTTCAGAGGCTCAAAGCCTGATTAATTGGAAACCTGATTAGAACAAAGGCTCCTGAGGCCAAGGCAGGTGTCTGGGAGCTGTGTCTGAGCTGCAGGAGGGGAACCAGGCTGCAGCAGCAGCTGAGGGAAGCACGTGGGGCAGGCTGCTGTGGGTGCAGGACGAGCACCCGGCCCTGCTTCACCTGAGGAGTTCTCCCTGCTGCTCCTCCTTGCTAAGTGTTGTTCTGGAGAGCATCACTCTCCTGTGCTTGAGCCATCCCAGCCCCAGCCCTAGTGGGTGTCTGTCCAGCCGGAAGCTTTGGGACAGTGGGACAGGACATGTCCTCTGTCCCTGAGCTGGTGCTGAGGGCTGGCACACTCCCAAGGCCCACAGCACAGCTGAGGGAACAGCAGGGACTGCCACGTGTCCGCGGCACTCTCACCTCCCTCACTCCCAGCCAGGACATCCACACCATTCCCTCGCTCCCCAGTGCCCCCTCCCCTGGCACAGCCACCTGGACCCACCGAGCTCCTCGTGCCTCCTGCAGGCCTTGCTGAGGTTGACAGAGGTGCAGACCTTCTCCACGTCGTTCCAGTGACTCCTGCCACTGGCAGCAGTCTGCAGGGAGCAGCCAGAGCCCAGAGAGAGAAGCACACAATGGTTCAGCTTGGAAAAGCCCTTTCAGTCACATCCAGCTCTAAATCTAACCCTGCCGAGTCCTCAAGCACCAACCCCTCATCTTTAAGCATCCCCAGGGATGGCGACTCCACCACTGCCCTGCACAGCTGTGCCAGGGCTGGAAAGCCTTTTCAGTGAAGAAATATTGGAGAATATCCAATCTAAACTCCCCGTGGTGCAGCCTGAGGCTGTTCCCCCTCCTCCTGTCCCTGTTCCTGGGAGCAGAGCCTCCCCCCGGCTGTCCCCTCCTGGCAGGAGCTGTGCAGAGCCACAAGGGCCCCCCTGAGCCTCCTTTTCTCCAGGCTGAGCCCCTTCCCAGCTCCCTCAGCCTCTCCTGGGGCTCCAGCCCCTTCCCAGCTCCGTTCCCTGCCCTGGACAGCTCCAGGCCCTCCATGTCCTTGCCATGAGTGTCCCAGAGCTGTGCCCAGCTCTGGAGATGCCCCAGCAGGGCCAGCACAGACCTTGCTGTATGCAATCTGTAGTGTCAGTGGGATGGCTTCCCTGTCCCCATCTATTCCCAGCCTTTTGCTGCCAGGACCTGCAGGAAACAAGGAGAAAAAAAAAAAATCACCCGGGGGCTTTTCATCCGCAGCCTTCCCTGGCTGCTGGCACAGCAGCACTCCCAGGACTGCGGAAAGGGGAACAGGGCTGAGCACAGCTGTGGGGCAAAACGGCAGAAAGCAGAGAATCCAGAGAGGAATCACAACACAAAACCCTGTGCAGAACTGAAGGTGGCTCTGGCTGAGCCGGGGCAGAGGCTCAGAGCTCAGGGAGAGCACAGAGCAGTGGAGGCCACAGCCAGCTCGGCTTGTCCAGGCAGATTTCTGCCCGTTAATTAGCCTGAACGCTGGGTCTGACACTTTCCAACTGCTCTTTGTCCCCCTGGATGATTTTTTTGCAGCTGTGAAGCGGTGCCATGTAGGAGTGTAGGAGAATGCCCCCTAATGACAGAGTGGCAAATTAGCCTTTGTCCCTCAAAAAAGAAAAGAAGCCCAGAAGTTTCTCCCAACGATCAGGTGAAAAGCCACCTCATAGGACCCCAGAGACTTCACTAAAACTTGGGGTCACCTAATTGGATAGGAGCCAAAAAGTCCCGCCTGGGCCATAAGGCAGAAAAGGAGAGAACAAAAGGACCATGAGGCTTTTGTGAATGTGTTTTCTAGCAGGACCAGACCTCTGTACCTGGCTCGGATTTTCTGTTGATTATTTTGCCTTTTATTAAACCTTTCTGTTTCTAACACTGCAGCAGAAGCCATCCTGCTCATTCTTCGCCTCCAAAGGTAATAGCTAAGTTATCCTTGGTGCATTAGGTTCCCTTTTGAAAGCTCATAAAACCCTGGCTCGACAAAACAGAACCGAATAGTGCCAGACAATCCAAGGGGAAACATCGGGTCCAGCACTGGCGGATTCACAGGCTCTGCCCAAGCCTGGTTTGGGGAGCAGGGGGGCACACTGCATAAGGGGAATTCTAGGGCTCTGCTTTGAAGGACAAGCAGAGCTCACACCAAAGCAGCTGGTCAAAGGAGACACAAAAGGGGCAATAGACACAAAAGAGGGGGCACTAGTATTCCCCCCCTGTTTTGCTGTTTTTAGCTATAGTGCAATATATACAGCTGTGTATTTCTGGTGCAGTGCTGGGGCTGGCCATGAGGTGTCTGTGTGAGCTGCCCTCAGCACAGCAGCCGGGCTGGCTGCCCCGAGGAACTGCAGCCACACGGCCCTGCCGCTGCTTCTGCTCTCTTAACACCACTAACCTTGTAAATTCCTAACATAAAAGCACAAAAAATGACACCCGGAAGGCTCCAAGCACACACACAGACCTGGCTTTGCCCAGTAAAACAAGGAGATGAAAAGAGGGATTTTATCAGTGACACTCCTGGACAAAGCACAGGGAGCAAGCAGTAACAAGGAGAGATAAAGAGCTGCATTTGGCAGGTGTGATGGGAGGAAGGAAACAGCCTTGGAGGTGTTTTATTGTAAATCCATTCTCCAGTTCAGAGCAGCACAAACAATCAGGCTTTGCCATGGTTTCACTCCCGGAGGGAATACACAGTGGAATGTTTCTCTCCCAAAGCATGAAGAGCTGTCTGGATCCTCACTCAGAGACCTCCTGCAGCCCATGCTAGGGGCCCCCCGCCCCCGCCGAGGGCGGGGCGCGGCCCCTCCCCTCCCCTCCCCTCCCCTCCCCCATTTCAGACCCCCAGGGCAGGTGGGGGTGCAGGGGCAGCCACAGACCTGAGGCCTTGATGGCCCTCGTGGCTGCTGAGTGCCCCAGCTCCAGGGAGTGGATGAAGACCTCGGTCCTCTTCTCGCCCCCGATGAAGGTGAGCTGCCGGGGGGACAGGAGGGGACACGCGGGGGTGAGGGGACCCAGCCTGGCCAGGCAGCCTGCACCCCTCCCAGTCCTCAGGAAATGGACCTTCCATGTTCCCAAAGCACCTTCCAGCAGCCTGGGGTGGTGCCTGCCTTTGGCTGGACTTCCGAGTGAGCAGATCCCCAAACCAACCCAACCCCTCCTTTTCACTTGGAACTCCACTGGGAAAAAGCCCAGTGAGCCAACAGCAGGGTCTGGGGACTGCTTTGGGAGCACCAATCCGTGTGGTTCTGCTCACCAAGCCCTGACGGGTCCCCAGGCACAGCCCCAAAGCAGGGGCTGCAGCCCCGAATTCAGCCTTCCCCACCACGCCTGCCCGGGCACAGTGGGGTGTGGAAAAGTCGCCTCAGGGAGGGGTTTGCTTTGGGAAGCAGAGCTCTGGAGAGATTCCAGCGGTGTGGAAAAGCTGGCAGCACTGCCAGGCACTGCTTTGTGCATGGGGAAACGTACTGGGGTGGAAAACTGCCCGTGGGACTTGGTGGTCAGGGCAGGAGCTGCTCTCAGTGCTGGGCCAGGAGCATCAGCCAGGGCACAATGCACACCCAGGGGACCAGAGGGGAGCGAGCTCTGCCCCGGCACCACGGGGTGGCTGTGCCTCACCCGGTGCTCCACGGGCAGCTCCTGGCCCTGGCACAGGCAGAGGCACCCTGCTTTCCCTCTGCCCACCTCGGTCTGGTAGAGCTGCAGCAGCACGGGGCGCGTGGCCAGGCGGCAGTAGTAGAGGATCATGTCTGCCAGGATGGGCAGCTGCTCCTGGGCGTCCTCCTGGGGCTCAGCCTCGGCCTTGGCACACTGGGGCGGCAGAGTGGGTCAGAAGGGTGACGGGGCAGGTGGCACCTGCAGCCACAGCTGCCCACCCACCTCCTGCTGCCCGCCGGGAGCCCCTCCTCCAGCTCGTGTCCCTGTGGCACGGCAGAAGGGTCTCCAGAGAGCTCCCAGGGAAGGGGAAGGGGCACACCCCACCCTGCCCGTGGCACACACGCACCTGGCACAGGACGCCCATGGGCAGGTTCATCAGCCCCAGGACGTTGCGCTCGTACCAGGGGTCCAGCAGGCCGAGGTAGTGGGAGATGTCGTTGGTGCTGCTCTCCGTCCCGGCCAGGGAGGGCTCCTGAGACCATCACAGACACATTTCATGAAAAATCATTTAGCCAGGGTCTTTGTCTGAAACGCAGAGTCAAGATTCTCATCTCTTCCCTCGCCCTGGGACCCTCGAACACAACCACAAGACTTTGGGGGTCACCCCGCGGGCCCCTCAGCCTGCCCCACCTCCCAGGACACTGGGGGAGAGCACACCCACCTGTGCCCGGGCCGGGGGCTCTCCCGGGGACGCCGAGGAGTGATGATGATGATGATGAAGCATCTGCGGGGTGGACGGAGCCACGCAGCTCCTCTTGACGGGCACGTAGAAGAACTGGAGCCTGAAGTGGCGCGTCAGGGAGGGGCAGGAGCTCTCCTGGAGCCTGGCGGGAGCGGAGGCTGAGCGGGCGGCCGGGCCGGGCCGGGCGGGCGCGGGCCCCGCTGGCCGGGGCTCACCCGGGCTCACCTGAGGCGGCTGTAGGCGCGGGCCAGCTTGCCCGAGATGCGGTCGGAGCCGAACACCACCACGCGCAGCGTGCCCGCCTTGGCCTCCTCGTGGCAGCTGAGGAAGGGGCGGCGGGGCAGCGCGGGGCTGCGGGGGGCGAGCGCGCCGGGGCCGTGCTGCGGCAGCGAGAGCGCGCGGCGGGAGCGCGCGGGGACGCGCG